AATTTTGTGTCTTTGTCTGTGTGTTTACATCACAGTCTGTAACCATGTCAACAAAGCCAACCTGAAGAGGACGATGACAATTCTGCGCGACCCACGTGACATCATGGCGGAGCTGATGACGGCAAAGACGCATTCGTCATGGTCAGTTACGATTTTTGCAACCACACCCAAAAAAGATGGATGGGGAAGTTTATTCAATCCTCCAGATAACAAAATAAATTACCACAAGACTTAGTCCACAGCGCTAAGATACAGGTAAAATCACCAGACGCTCCACATTTCGTCAAATTGTGAGAGCTGGGAGGAAAAAAAAGATAAATTTTTTTTCCCTTTCTTTTTCTTTGGACAAGGGAAAAATAAGCCCCATAATATGTATGATCGTATAAAGAGCGCGTATCAAGAAGCATGGGAGAAAGAAATAATCAGGCCAAAGAGGAGCCGGTGTTTCCACATGGAACCAAATCCGATCACCCCTCATTATTATTAATGTGCAGATACAGAGCCTTACTTACAATACCACAGTCGGTCACTGCCCCAATAATACAGGTCCAGTATTTGCTGGTAAGCTGGATGGTGCTGTTTGGCGTGGAATGCAGTGGCATTTAATCATGAAGAGTAAGCAGGATTTTGTGATCTATGCAAAGCTTACAGTACCAACAACTAGTTTGTTACAATCATCTATTTATCCAAAATTTTTTCGTCTTTTGCATGGCACTACTCTGTAAATGATTAATCAATTTTTATTAATTAACTAGTAGTAACTATCATCTGCAGTAAGATTGCAAGTAACTATCCGGGACTGTCGTCCACTACATGGACCCTTGGAAACAAACTGACAGCCGTTTGTCCTCCGTGGTACAAATGATCCCAAATGCATAGGAGTGAAATCAGTCCCTGGAACCACTGCTCCAGAGACAAGATTGTTATACTGCTCGATTAACCGTGCGAAACTAAAAATGAAAGCAGTGGTATGAGGACCCAGCACAATTAGCATTCGTCTAGTCTAACACTGTCATAAGCTATCTTGTGCTGGGCGTTGATGTTTTCAGAGGCCTCATTGGTAGGTGCTATGAGTGTGTGGCTTTGCGTTAAAAAACTTACTACTGAGCTATGTGTCTAGCTATCTATCCCTTAAGACTACGACTACCTCTCTCATTGGTAGATGACTGCATGCCAGGAGAAGAGCGCTATTTAATGTCATTGGAAAGACTGTGCAAGGTACATACAATGGTGCTTGGGTACCTCCTCGTCGCCCCGTACACATCAATTCGATCAAGCATCCCGTTGCCCGTGCAAGGGGCCCTTGGATGTATAACCATATAAATCCATACTAGCAGAGGCAATATCCATATTAAATCAAACGGTTCTCACGGATAGGTATCCATGTCCAAGCCGAATTGCGCCGGACGCAGCACATGTAACTGGCACAAGCGCCGAGGGGAATGGACGAATAATGAAATGATCATCGGGCTTCTTCAACGATAGGTTTAACAGGGAAGCGAGCCCCGAAGGGAAATCAAGAAGCAGCTGGTACATAGTATAAGATACTCCAGCAATGTACTAGAACTAACCCCAAAGCATGGGCTTACTTATTAATGAAAGGTTAGTGGTACTCAGGCTGTTCATCACAGGATGGATGAAAGTTATGCGTAGCAGAGATTATGCTGCTACAAAATTATACCCCGCATAGATTCTAGCAAATTCGCCCATATTAAATCATTCAGGCCTACTCAAATTGGCTAATATGCAGTACAAAGGCGTGGTGAAGTCGTATCGAAGTTGACTAGGAAGACTACATGGGGGCACGGAGGATATACATACACGGTACGGAGATTTTTGGAGGATGGAAAGGAAATCACTACTAGTACGGAGTACTATGGGAACCTGGAAGTACTACGACGTTACTACTGTACGGTACTACTACCACCGCCGTCCATATTCCGTCAATCAATGGATACTGTGGTGTATGTATTTTACCTGAGGTAATTTATCCACATGGTGGAAAAGTAGGTAACCTGATAAGTGGCGGCGGCTGATTCAGGTATTGTGACCGTCTTGTATCATACCGTACACTAGTTCATAGTGGAGCTGTGTCGAAGCAATTCATCAACGCGAATTCGTTTCTGCCGATTTTTGTCTTACCAGATGAGCTCAAAAAAGCCCGAGAGCCAACAGTAATTCAGTCAGAGGAAGTTTCTGCAGCTTCAGTAGTCCCCCTGTTCAAGAAAAGGGCGGGTGTTGGATGAAAATGACAGTGTTGATCCGTTGTAGGGACGACCGAGGAAGAGCCGTACATGACATGTATGATACAATACCACCCATTCCCCGAACACACCATAGCCAGTCGCAGCCAGCCGACTTCCCTTGCTGTGCTGCCCACTTCCCCCCTTCGTAAGTTGTGAGTGAGTAGGTAGGTAGTGGCCCGCCCTCCCGTCTCTCTCTTCTCTCTCCTACTACTACTACTCTCCCCTCTCCCTCTCTCTCTCACTCTACCTACTCTCCCTCACTACGCTTCCCATACAATTCTCTCCTCCCCATACAAAAAAGTACTGCATATCCGCATCGGTGAGTTCACTAGTAAACACTCGCACTTCTCACATTGGTTTCACACAACCAAACGCAATTATTCCTTTCTTTTAAAACTGTTTGTTTCCATTGTGAAGGCTTTCCTTGAATGTCATTTCCCTTGATTTTTCGTCATGGCTTCGCGATCTCACTGTCGCGCATCTGCGACGGCAACTATATAGTTCCAGAAATAATGCTTGAACCCAAACTGACTTTACTCCCCAACAGGCCAAAACTGCCGACCTCAAAACATTGCTCTTGATTTTCTTTTGAGTCAATTGTCGGGTAGGTCTCTTGCGCGCTTTTTCTTTTTCGTGTTCTGCCTTGACTTGCGCCCGCGATCGGACTTGTTTGGGGCGCGCGCTTTTACGCTCTGGCCGCACCGTACTTTTCCCACCGCGCGCATAGTCGCATTAGTCGCCCCCGACTTGATTTGTTTCCTTCATTATTCTTTTAATTTTTCTTTGTTCTCGTCATCTGCACTCCATCCTTGCCAACGTGCCCAAGTCGCTCTTGACACTGGCAAGTTCTCTTGGCTTCGAACCTTCTAACAGGGCTTTGTTCTCAACAGATCACATCAAAGATGCCTAAGGAGAAGACCACACGTAAGACCAAGGGTACCCGCGTCGAGCGCAAGAAGAAGGGTATGTTCCCCGTCTATATCTCTTGAAGCGCACTGACTGATCTGGTCTGTAGACCCCAACGCACCCAAGCGTGGTCTCTCCGCGTACATGTTCTTCGCCAATGATAACCGCGAGAAGGTTCGCGAAGAGAACCCCGGCATCTCTTTCGGTAAGATACGCAAACTCGAGGTGTATCACTGATCGGATCAGCTAACTTCCGGACAGGTCAGGTTGGCAAGATGCTCGGTGAGAAGTGGAAGGCCCTGAGCGACACTGAGCGCCGTCCCTATGAGGAGAAGGCTGCCGCCGACAAGAAGCGTTACGAAGACGAGAAGGCGAGCTACAACGTATGAGACCCTGGTCGCCTCTTGAATGTGGACAATGCTAATGGACTGAATATTAGGCCCAAGCCGAGGAGGATGAGGAATCTTCTTAAGCTGTTTCTTCCCCTCGCAGGTCTTGTAAATCTTGACCGATTGGCGTTTCGTGTTGTTTATTCCCGCTAATTGCCTGACTTGTATTTGTCGCCTCTTATGTTTCCTTTTACTCGATGGTTTCTGGTATGGGATGACGGTGGTTTCTCCTTGCTTTTCTGTTCATGAAGGATCTTCAATGGGACATGTTTACTGTATGGACTGGCGGCTTTGGGACGAATTTGACTTAAATCGAGGGAGCCCGGCGCTGTATACCAGATCGGCGGGAGAACCTTGTTTTGAGTATCTATGGTGAAATATGAATTGAAGCTGTTGAGGCAAGCAAAATCTGCTGTACACTAGCCTAATCAACCGCATCCTTACCTTTTCTCTGTTGATCGCCCCAGCGGCTTTCGTGCCATAATGAATATTTAGGTTTTTTTCTCGAGTATGATGGAGGTGTTGGGAATAAGAACATAGGTGAATCAATTTCTCTAAGGCTTGTGTTGGTGTTGAAGCTGTCGAATTGCAAGGGAGCTCTCCGGCATCATCTGGCCCAAGCTCCAGTGATGACGCGGGGGTAAACTTGTTTACGTGTTGGACGCGCGCGTTCCGTACTTCCGATATCTCCGGTCGTCGCCTTGATGCCTGAAACCGCAAATCAACTATCGTCAGTTGCCACCAGTTCAGTGGCTAGACTCTTATAGATAGAGCTTAAGACCCAAGGTCCCCTCTTAACTGTCACCCAGTACCTACTAATATTCTGACACAACACAGTCTGCTTACGCTATGAGACTAGAGATATGCGGTCGTGAGCAATGCCATCCAAACAAAAGCGGCCAACACGGTCAAGTATATGTACATACATACGCTAGGGCACACACCTATTTTCCGCACGCAACTGTGCTTGTTCCGGCATTTATGCATCGCGCTACTATTCTCTAACTGGCGTGTTGGTGGATATCTGAGGATCATGAATATCCGTCAGGCAGAAATCACATATGGTTCGACGTGTTTGCTATACTAACCACCCAGAAGCAATAGGATTTGTGTACTAAAATCTAGAGCTGTGTGTCTACCCAAGAAGGGTTGCCGAACGCCTGTGGTGCGTTGGATTGATTCTAATATATACGGCCAAGATGAGAAGAAGAGTCAAAGGATGGGGAGCGTTACTATTGCTCTACATGATGCAGTCTGTATCGGCACATCACGACTGGACTCAGAAAAATTTGCAAATGTTGAGATTCTCTACAAAGATGATGACCTAAACTTGTAGGGCAAAGCTTGGTCTCCCCTGAACAGAGCAAAATGTCAAGAAACGAAGGTTTCAGGCATTCATGGTGGGTGCCTCTGAATCCTAAACGTCTTCGGCACCCGGAGCTTCGGATTGACCTTCATTACATTTATCGTTCGCCTTCCTGCTAAGAAGGTCGGTCCTCGCTGAACTAGACATTACTTCTCAGTCTCGATCGTAGTGGAACCAGCTTATCTGTTCCTGTCAAGGGTCGGGAAGACCACTGGGCGTTGTATAAGCAAGAAATCAGTCCGTTCCAAGCCATATGTTCATGATGGAGAGTGGGCCTTCGCATGATATGTGAAGAATATTGGTGGTTCTTCTCCCGTGTTCAAAGATAGCAGCTCATACGTGGTTTGAATGACGGAGAAGTTGGATGAGTCGAGATTATCCACCTACTAAGTCTGTTTGCCCGCTTGCCAGTACTATAGTCATGGATAGGTTTACACCCTTCGCTTTGATCCAAGAAGGGGGTTCGTCCGAGTCAATGATTGTCTCGTGATTTGGTCAGCGACACGGGAATTCCCACCCGTTAACGTGACTCCATCGAAGCCTCCTTCTTTCTTGCTGCAGCTGCAGGTCAGCCACCGGCAATGGACTTACTTGTCTTCCGATGCCCGGCTTTTGGTGAACCCTTTGTTGTCTCATTGTTCTCGGAGTTTTCTTCAGCAAAGGATCAATCGTTTCTTCCCTCGAACGGGAATGAATCCTTGCGTTAAACGGTGACAAGCTGTGTGTGTGTTGGGGGGGGGGATGTGGTGAGTTACACTGTCAGTCTAGTCTGTCCAGCCTGTCCATCACCGCTCAATGGCGCCAGTGCAGCTCCGCTCCTCGTTTATTGGCTTTGTCCCTTCTCCGCTATGGACACGTCAACGACCCCAAGTCAGTTAGACACTTGGAGGGCAATTACCCTATGCGTTTCAAGCCATGGTCAGCATGAGAGCCGCAAGTGAGGGTCATGGATGGCTTGGTGTTTCTAGGGCTCGTTCCATTGACTATCAGGTTCGATCTTTGCCCCACTTGACGGCATTCTTGACCCGCATTTCTTCTCGCGACAGATGATTGTTTAATTGATAATTGATGGGTTATCTGATTCCCCTTGGGTTCTACAAGAAATTGATTTTTGAGCTCGGTCTGGCTGTGAAAGGCTCGCTGGTCTCTTTTTCTCGCTCCTACCATTCGGGGGGTCAATCCGGCAGAGCACTAATCCTTTAGTTCCTCAGTGCGTGGTCTTCAGTCGATACGATGCATGCGGATCGCACAACACTCTCCTCGAACGCCCTCATTGCATTATTCTACGACTGAGTTGTCGTCGGGTCACCCCTCCACAGCGAAATCTGTTCCGACTTACCCTTATGAACAGGTTTATTTAGCTTTAACCTTCTTGTCCCCAATTTCTTTCTTTTTTAGTTTTTTACCCTTTCTTGTCCAATATAAGATCGCTGGCAGGGTTATCTCCGTGCCCTCTTCACTATACCTCACCGACTATCATATAATATCCCCCTCCCCTCCCTATATTCTGTTCAAGTGCCACGCGAGGGCTTTATATATATAATACATATCTTTCTCTTATATGTGTATGTATCTGCATGGCCCTTTAAAGGCAAACGTCCAATATGGCCCTGCGTACTTCCGCCGATAACGCAGAGGACGTGGCCGCTGGCTTCCGTGCATTTCGTGAGCACCTCCCCGGCCATGAAGCGGAACTCACTGGCCTTATCGCGGACCTTTTTGCCATCAGTTCAGCTTTGAAGAGGTTGGATAACCTGACAAACGATCGTCGACATCAGCATAACCTGGCCATCGTGCAGCCGGACCTCGAATTGGTCCGTACTAGCTTGAAAATTACCCTCGAGGATATCGTCGATTTCTTCGGTGATCTCGAAGTGCGCAGAGGTTCTACCAGAGATGTCTATCGTCGAACCTGGATTGAACTATGTGAGTTCTTCCGGGACGAGGGGAAGGATTCACCCCCAACACGCTTAGCCAGGTACAAGACGTTTTTGAATGAATTGGAGGATCATATGATTGAGTATGTCATTCCACTTCAACGCCTTGCCACTAATATGTTGTGAGCATACTAATTTCCTTGGGTTGGATAGCAAGTTCCCTGATGCCTCGTTCATGGCTAGCCTTCGCAACGGTGTGAAAGGGTTGCTAGCCCAGCAATGCAGTCGACTGCCCCACCAGCTGGGCAGCATGTCTCTCAGCACACCGTCCTCTCCCAGTAGCCATAGCACTGAGCCTGGCAGCCCGGTTAGCGACCGTCGGCCTCGCAATAGGAGGTCCTATGAACGAGCAAGGCCTTCTCATACGTCTCCGCACTCACCACTTTCTCCCGCGTCCGGAAATTTCTCAGATGTCCCACCATCCGCCCCAGATGCACCTGGATCCCCTTTCACTAGTTCAGCCACGAGTCACTCCCTGGGTTCCAACATCGTTAGTGACCATTGGGCAAAAAATGTTTTCAAAGACGCACGTGCAACGACTCGGATCCCATATGTTGGTGAAAGGTAAGAGGCTATAGCGCAGCCAAAGATCATCCGGACTGATATTTGCTTAGTTCTAAATGTCTTGGTGACCTAACCCCCGGGGTAAAGCGATGGCTCAATGAGACGGGGTTCGAGGAGCTTTTCCAGCTGTACGCGTTTTGAAGCTTCCCCCTTCCATGCCTTTTGCTAATATGTCCCAGAGCCTTTAATGGTGATTCGGATTTACGTGTGTATTTATATGTACGAGAAGACGACCACCGAGCGCGCATCGTATGCAAGACTTTTCGCTCGCCCCGCTCCAGTGACTACCACTGCCTCCCTCTGAATATGCTGGAAATTATTCGTGTCGGCTCCTGTCTGCAGTTGTGCCGACGGCGCCGTGGCGGCCAGGAACTTGTGTTATGGGCCAATCTCAAGTTCAGTACACTTGAGCGTGCGTATCAACTCTTCCGCCCCTACGTCTTTGAGCACGGCACTGAATGATTGAACAGATATGGTACTGTTTTTCTGCACGTTCCTGGCTCTTCGCTCTCAGGACTGTGGCCGACCAGTGGATCGCATCCGTGATTATGAGTTAGACGATGAAGAGGAGCTCTTTGGGGGGTATGGGCATTCTTAATAGCAAGCCAAGTGGGCGGTGTACTGACTGAGAAGTTGCAGGCCTATTGTTGACGACAACTTCCTTCATGCGCTACGCATATACAAAGACCGAACATCTGGCGCCATAAGACTCCAGGCATCAGTACATAAAGGGGAAATGAAACGGTGGGGTTCCCGGCGATGAGATGAAACTGGATCATTTACTCATTGGTAATCTGATATAGGGCTCCAGTTTGGACGGCATTCATCACGAATCATATTGGCACGCGAGGTTGGATCCGTCAAGCTGATTCAAGAGTTGTTCTATTACGCGAACTTCATCGGACAATCTTCACATTTGATCACTATGACCCACCATGCACGTCCAGGGGAGAGCACATAATAAAGTTTTCGAATCGCTCTGGTTGGTCACTTTATTTCTTTATTAATATGTTTCATGATGTTTCATGATACCTACAGTGTACTGATTCCGGATTTTCAGATGCGCAAGGATTCATCCAGACTATTGCCGACCTCGCTAGCCGCTGACCTTTTCTTTCGACTTCCCCATACCATGGTCTATTTCACCAGTCAACATCGCATTACACAGATATAAAAAGGTGGGATTATATGAATAAACAAAAGCAGGAAAAGCAAAGAATCTCCATTTTTATAATGATGCCCAACATCCACGATACTGTTATATTATCCTAATTATTGAACAATCACGATTAATGACTTATGCTTACGACTTCATGAGCTAACGAAGCTAACCGGGTGGTATTTTGGTCTCTTTTGATGCTACAAATTAAAAAAGGTCGCCCTGCCACGCCTTGATGGGGTGGTTTGGGTCTGAATTCAGCTGGCTGATAATCGCCTGCGCAAGACATCATTTTTTTTTGGGAACTACTCTTCTGAACTTGCAGGTTATTCAGAAAAAAAAAAGAAAAATTGATTACTCAATATCTTTTCAAGATCACAAGATTAAATAAAAGAAATGAATATCATGATCTAGCAAAGCACAGGGGTATCTTAGAAAACTTAGAGCATAATATACAGAAAAAGACATCAAACGCCAACATCTCCCAGCTTAGCAAGAAATATCTCTGCTTGCCTTTTTGACCGTAGCTCTCCAATCTTCTTCCTCCGTTCATCCTTCACCCGCTCTCGCTCCGCCTTTCTCGCTCGGTGGACTTCTCGCTCACGCTGAGTTTCATCTCGCGCGTTCATAAGCTCCTCCATCTGCTGCCGACGCACATTCTCATCCTTGGAGAAGGCATAAAATCCGGTACCCCGATTCCGGACCTCCGCGTCCGCATCATAATGCGTCTCTTCCGGAGTAGGAGACCGGTCTCTCCGCTTAGCCAGATACGACATCTGCGCCGCCAGGCCCGCATCAGGATTGAACGCCTCCGCCTGCACAGCAGCCCCGTAGATCAGATTGTCCGGCCGGGAAGGACGCCAACGTTCCTTCGCGTCACCCTGTTCGGTTGCTTCTTCCTTCAACCGGGCCGCACGAGCCGCGTCGGCCCTGGTCCCCCGACGAGTCCGACCAAGCTCATCCTCATAGGACACAATCGAAGCATTTCCATCATCATCATCATCCTCCTCCTCTTCCTCCTCGCCATCACTCCCAGAGCCTTTGCCTCGCTGGGCATCTGCCCATTTCTGATCGAAATCCACCAGCCCCTCTTTCTCCCGCCGCCGTAGTCGCGCCAGATACTCGTCCTGCGTTTCTTCTTCTTCCGAGTCGCTCCCGGCCGCCAGATACAGCCCCTTCTTGAGGTCCTCGTACATCCGCGCCTTCTCCTCCATCCGCCGCTTGGAGCGGTGCAGCGTGGCCGTGTCTACGCCCCCGATATCTTGGGACCGCTGGTGTGTTTGGTGAGTGTCATCATCGCGGAGGTCAGCGGCGGCACGTTTCTGGGCGCCTTTGTTGGGATGCGCGAAGATGTCTGACTTGGTGGTTTTGGATGGTCGGGGTCGGCCGCGGGTGGAGGCGTTGGCGTCTTTGTTGATGAGGGAGGAAAGAGCTGTCGTGAAGGCGAGCGTGGAGGAAGAAGGGGAATTGGATTGGGATTGGGAGGTTGATTTAGAGCGAGGGATGCCGTATAGCGAATTTGGATTCGACATTATTGGGGATTGTTGGAGGTGTTGGAGTAAGATGTAGAAGTTTTGAAGGGAGATATGGGAATGCGGCCGTAATCGATAAGGCGTGATTGAACTGATGTGGACTAAGTGGGAATAGGCAGGTATGACTAAGGACCCTTCATAGATGGCCCCGCGGAAGGACCCCTCCAGACTTGTCATTCCATCTTCATTCGACTTCTTCTGTTCGTACGTCTCTCTGCTTCCCTGGTCTTTTTGGTGGTGCTTATTCTCGTCTTAGATATCTGGTTTACTTCCGGTTACCATTCAAGCCCAGTTTACGATCAATTGCCTATCATCATGTCGAGCCCCGTCTATCTCGGTGTCATTGGTATGTACCAAAAAACATCTACAACCAACAACAACAACAACACTCATACACTACATACCCCAATTCTCAAACAAAATACTCACAGCGTCGCAGGAGTCGGAGGTGTAGGCACAGCCTTCCTGAGCCAACTTGCCCGTCTTCCCAATGCCCCCAAGCTCGTCCTCCTCGCTCGCTCTAGCCAGACCCTCCAGTCTCCGACACCGGCCTACTCCCCCGCCATCCCCGCCGCAGACTGGAAAACCGCCGTCGAGACCCCCTCCCTAGTCAAAGCGGGTGCTCTCTCCGTCGACGAGATTGCCTCCTACCTCTCCTCCGCCCCCGGTCGCTCTATCCTCGTCGACAACACCAGCGACCTCACCCTCGCCAGCTCCTACCCCGTCTTCCTCCGCAAGGGCATCTCCATCGTCACCCCCAACAAGAAGGGTTTCTCCTCCGACCTCTCCCTGTGGAAGGACATCTTCGCTGCCGCTGCAGAGGGCAAGGCCCTCGTGTACCATGAGAGCACCGTCGGCGCAGGCCTCCCCGTGATCTCCACCCTCCGCGACCTCGTTAGCACCGGCGATGAGGTCACCCGCATCGAGGGTGTCTTCTCCGGCACGCTGTCCTTCCTGTTCAACACCTTCGCCCCGGTGTCTGGGCCGTCCGGCGCAAAGTGGAGCGAGGTCGTGGCGAAGGCCAAGGATCTCGGCTACACCGAGCCCGATCCCCGTGACGACCTGAACGGTATGGATGTCGCCCGTAAGCTGACTATTTTGGCGCGTATCGCCGGTCTGGAGGTCCAGTCTCCCGACTCGTTCCCGATTGAGTCGCTGATTCCTAAGGAGCTCGAGTCGGTGCCCTCCACTGCGGATGGTATCAAGGAGTTCATGACCCGCTTGCCCGAGTTCGATGGCCAGATGTCGGCTATTAAGGAGGCTGCTGAGAAGGAAGGTAAGGTTGTGCGCTACGTTGGCAGCATTGACGTTGGTAAGAAGGAGGTCCGTGTCGGTTTGCAGTACTTCGATAAGGATAGCTCCATTGCTGGTCTGAAGGGCAGTGACAACATCATCAGCTTCTACACGAAGCGTTACGGTGGTAACCCCCTCGTTGTCCAGGGCAGCGGTGCTGGCGGTGATGTGACTGCCATGGGCGTGTCCGCTGACTTGATCAAGGTCGTGCAGAGACTGCAGTAAATCACCTTATAAAAGGCTAAGGAATGATCTGACTTGGATATGATAAATCAAGAAACCAATAAAAGTAATAGAATGAAGAAACAACAACGAAAAATGATTACGAGCGCAGAAACGCTTTCACAGCCTCGCCCCAAACTGGCCCCCGTTTGTACCAATGCATTGCAGGCACATTCCCCTCTTTCAACCCATCAATAGCAGCCGCCAGATCCTCTCCCAGCCCTTCATCCTTGACCATCTGGATCGGATCCGTGTATGTATGGAACGCAAACACCAATGCCTTGCTCTGAGGAAGACGATGCAACGTCTGCCGTTCACACCGCAAAACTGTAGAGTCCACGTCCAATTCCCCACACTTCAAAGCCTTCTCCCCTTCACTCTCGTCCCCGTGCACGCCGCCAAACGCAGCAAACAATTCCGAATTGGTAGTAATACTCCAATTGACCCTCTGCACAAACTGGCCGACCTCGACCCGCGCAAAGAACCGGTCCATGCTACGCTCAAGCTTCTCCTTATACCCCGGGACCGGGGTATGGATGGACGCGAGTCGGAGGCCGAGCTTCTTGCGCGTGTCGAAGCCGGAGGGGAAGAAGGTTGTATACGCTTCTAGGATGTACTTTTCAGATTCTCCTTGGTTGGTTGAGGGGTGGGTTGAGGGGGATTCAGGGAGGAGAATAAGAAACTCCTCGTCCACGAGCGTACCTAGGGTCTCGAGTTCTTTTCGCCCTGTCCTGGATCCGGGTTCGGATTCATTGAAGTGTAATGGGATCTTGGCTCCTGTGACCAGACTCTCGAGGATTGTCTTGGTTTCTGTTCCTGTCTTGCTGTTGTCATCGGAAGTCAGTCGGAACATCCGAGGGTACCGTGTGGGGAGATATGTCCCGACAACGAAGACGTATAACTCTCGGATGGCGGCGTAAATTCGCGGATCGGTCTCGCTATTGACTCCGACGACAACGTCGGGATATTTCTGAAGTAGCGAGGACCGAATGGCTAGTCTGTCTTTGTAGGTTTTGTCCATCTGAATGAGTGCCGAGGGGTCCAGGTTCGATAATGCTTGGCGGAATCAGTATCAAGCCCATACCCAGTTCTGATGACTCTGGTTGTTTGAGACATACCCATCGTCAAGTGGTACTTTGGCTTAAAGGGCCGGAACTTCAATGGCTCCGTAGTCTCCCAGTTGAATTCCGGGAGGGGTTCGATGGGCGGGTATGTCTTTTGGCTATCATTGTGGGATGTCGGCTTTGGTGGGCGGTCGTTGGAGACGGCTGGTTTCTGAGCCCGTGAGCCAAAATGTCGTCTCAAGTGTACGGGGCCCAGTCATACATATCTCCAAATGGCAAGGCCAACCCCTAGCAGGGGAATGAGAAACGCTAGTGGCATCCTCTTCGTGTAGGTGGCTACTGCGTCGAGCATAGAGAGCCCCATGTTATTGTAGTCACTTGTTCTGGGTTCCCTGTTCAATGGAAGCCCGATTGCAGGCTGGAGGAGTCATGGGTGCGGAGAGATGGATATAGTTCCCATCCTCATTGCAGGATTAGATAATTCTCGGTCTTGCGATTGGTCGGCAACCCCGTTCAACGCCGATTGCTCAGAGCACCGAACATCTGGTCCCTTTTCATCGTGAGTCCCGCGCATACAAAAGTCAATGATATTTCAGTAGTGGGTCTGGTATATATAAAGAGGGGTATCAAATGAACAAGACAACTCAGACCGCTAGATAAGTCACAGATCAGGCAAGCTCACAATAGCCAACGCCAAGATCTGCTGCAAAATATGTCCGAAATGAAGAAGGCAAAGCAAGAATAAAGTCAAATGTGCATACTGAGATAACAACCGGCGGGCAAAATGGAATGCGCACCGTAGTCGACTACCTCACCAGGAGGCGCTCTACCTCAAATACCACGAAGTCCCGTGCCAAAGTATTTCAACTAGACGTATTCCTCGATTACTTTCGTTTTAGCCCGTTGTTCTCTTCCTTTTCAGTCCCAGGTGCCTCGTAGCTTGCTAGCACAAAGGCCCTCCGCTGGCCATTTGGTCTTTCATTCAGGCTGGGCGCACGAGGCCGCTGTCTCCCCCTCGCCCTGCCGCCGATTACGGGGAGCTCATACGTCAACATCCGCCAGATGTAGAGGGACACGTCGAAGAAGATAAGTGTAGCCCAGGGAGCGATGGTGATGAGGCCTAGGACGAGCTGCGATAAGAAGATAGTTAGCGCGCATGTTCTGGGAGGCATCGGTACCAACTGCACAACATGAAATACATACAAAGAGTCGGGCGATCCAGTTTTCGACATAGATGAGGTCGGCTGGAAATAATGAATACCACGCCATTTTATACGTGCGAAGTATGTATGTTTATTTCGTTCCGTCCTCGAGATTGTTCGGCGATCGATTTACTGGAGCGCTGCTATCGGGGTATAACGGCAATTGAAAACCAGTCCAAACGGCTGTCGAAGGTGGTTACCACCGAGTAGCGACCATGAGCATTCACCAGGAAGTCCAAGGAATCCAGGGAATTTCCCGGAGACAACGTGGCTCGGTGCGTATTTGAGCACCTCGGTGTGCGGTTGTTTGCGTAGGCCGCGGTAATGAATGGTGGTGTGATGCGACGTGGAAAGAGGGGAAGGCAACGGTTTGTCGATGGAGGTCAGCCTGTGACAAGGGAACTAAGGGAGACCAACAACCTCATCGCAGAGGGTGTTCGATTAAAGGGGGGGGAGCTAAGTGAAAGTACAGACATAAAGTTGTCAGGGGAGAGAACAAACAAGGCATCCGAGTTCCGAGAGTTGGCCTCCACCCAATCGGGTAATTGATACACCTTGGAGCCCATTCCAGCGAACTCAAGTACAGCACATACAAGACAACGAACCGTTACCTAGCTGAATACATCGTCCCACGTTGGTCGCTTCTATGTACAATCAATTCGGCTCATATAATACAACACAGATATCCAGATCATATGCACGTATATGCAGCGTTACTTCCGTTGACCCCGTCCAGTCATCCAATACACCCCAAAGCTCTATAAAACAACCACAAAGAAACAAAGAAACAAAAACAAAACAAAAAAAAAAAGAAAAGAAATCAATGTATGGTATATTCGGGTAATGTCGTTAATCACAGCTATTGTGGTCTGCGGTAGTAGTCGTAAGAAGTTCTGGGATCTTCCTGTTCCACAGGCCCGTAACCTCCTGGCCGCCATCGATTGAATGGGTGAGCGCTCTCTGTCATAGCTGGCCCCTGCGCCTGACTGAGCAATCGTGCTTCACTCTCATCGTCATGCTGATAGAGTCCGTTGCCCACCAGGCCACTTTCGGAGTGAGACAGAGGGGTGCGGAACGCAGGATGGACGAGTTCAGTAGTACTCGCGTCATAGCCATCGTACTGTCTCAATCCGGATATGGAGGGTAGCGATGGCGTTGGAGACGCTGCTCGTGATGATGTTGGCGACCACTCGCCTAGCCCGATCCTCGGCGTGTGCGAGCGTTCGGTCATCAAGTCTTCCGGCCGGCCATAGATACCCCCGCCAAACTCGTCACGGAAATCCGGCCGGTCCTTAAAGTAGGAAAAGTCGAGATGGTTCTCAGGAACAACCTCGAATGGGGCGGATTCCGAGGGTTCCATCTTGGACTTTCCGGGATGGGATGCTGACATGGGATCCATCGCAATATCTGTGTACTCACCCTCCACTACAGAAGCGCCTAAACGACCCCGGTAGATACGCTTTAGCGCATCGGCGGCCTTTGCGTGTACCATCGGGGTGATTAGCGGTTTGTTGAGTGCCGGGTGGCCGAACTTGGAACTGAGTCGATCTGACCCCTTCTTGCTCGACTTCCCAGTCTCCAAGGCTTCAGCGTCGCTCAGATTCGCACGGTTGTAATATTTCATGTCAATATCAAACGTCCGCACACAGTACCACTTGAACCCCAGCAGCAGAAAAGGTAATGGGATTACACAGAAAACCATTGTCCAGGTGCCATTAGCCGTAGCCACCAGCGCAACAACCGCGTTGGCCAGAATAGCTGCAAAGACCATACGGTTGAAGATAACACGCCAGAACTGCCCCCCGGACTCGTTCTTCGTCACAAGCACATACAGCAGGAGATACTTTTTCATCATCGCATCCAACCCGAAATAGAGAGCAGTGACTGGCAGAACGATGGGCTGCAAAGTCGCAAAGCATAACGCTACGGTGGCGTAGAATAGGAAATAGTTGTAGTAGCTTGCGTACTCAAATGGAGGCGGTGCTGTCCATTCGATGGCCTGTCGCGGCGTTGGTGCCAGAAAGGTCTTGGAGAACCACACCCAAATCAAGGGAACTAGCTGCACGAGGTCGATCGCCGCTCCTAGATTCCTCTGTAACAAGTATGTCACCCAGAAGGGAGACACATTACACAACGCACTCACGGCCTTGGAGTAGAAGCCTCCATCGACCATAGCTTGCCAAGCATTCTCATCCTCCTTCTTGTCAATAACAGCTGCAATGAATGTCCACGCGGCCGAGAATAGTGAAAATACGACGAGATTGTTGAAGACAAAGAATGAGTAAAGGTGGTGAAGCACATGCCTCTCTCGAGAAGTCTTGGTTACATCACCAGCTTGGATGGACAGCCGGCGGAAGATGATGGGTAGGATGACATACACCAAGGACGTAATGGCGGGAGATAGAATACCCTGGACAGCAGCCCAGACGTGTGGGTTGCCGTTAAGGGACGTTTGAAAAGCCGGCCAGACCAATCCCAGGTTGTTCAAATTGGACAAGAAGATGGCAATCATGGCGTTAGGAGCGATCCACAAGACTGTCAGGATCGAGACCCAGATGACGTTGACGAAACGCTTCCATTTTCGTGCCTGCTTTGACAAAGGCAGATTTTCCCAGATGAGATCATTTGGCCGTGGCGCTAGCCTAATCGTTGTTCCCTGTGGCCGTTTTCTCCGTGCAGTGTAAGCGACAGCATGAGCGTGTTCAATCTTCTCCCAGCTGACGAAACCGAACGGCATGGCATTTCGCTTGTCAATCGACCCGCGAACGTGCCGGATCTCTTCTTCTAATAACTGAATCCGATCAGTCAAGTAATCGATGGCGTCTACCTTGGCGGGCGTCTCAGCGCCTTTCTCTTTGCGGGGCGGCCGTATCATAGGTCGGTTAGCCGGTAGTCGATCGGGGTTTTTGAGATATTTCGCTAATACCGACTCGAGCTGGCGCACTGCTTCCTCGTGTTCTTTGATGAGTTTGGGAAGACCCTTCACGTTACGGCCGATAGTGGCACGGGGTAGAGCCGCGGTGGGGTTAACACCATCGACCAGACGCATCACACCCTCGTCCGATCGTGCTGCGGAGGGAATATCAGTGACCTAGAAAGTAACGGTCAGTATAAGCACCGAAGTATTGCATCGTCGCTCCATTAGCAGGGCAAGATATGTACCATCAAAGTCCGGGCATGAAGACTACGCTGGTAATCAGAACTCTGGAAGTATTTTCTCCGTAACGCGTAAACGGCCTTGTAATTCCTCCAAAGGAAAAATGCGACAATCAAGTCGAAAGCCCAGGCGCAGACAACTTGACCCCAAATAGCTTGAACAGAGACATAAAGCGGAGTCATCGTCACGAAAGCAGATAACGTTGCTCTAGAGCTTTTGTTGCTTTGCGTCAAGTTGAGGGGAATCATGACACCGCAGCCGATTATGCTCAGGAAGATGAAAATGTTGCGACACATCTTGGTGAAACGCAGGAAGACAGTGGCATCGAGACCAACGCAGTCGACGAGCTCTGGCTCTCTCGTGCGCACAACCGGTTTAACCCAGGCAAAGAAACCTTTTCCCACCGGGGGAGGGCTATGTTTGCGATCTGCATGTTTAACCTTGGGGGCGTAGACAACCGTGTGTCGAGGTCGGAACAGCGAAAAGAGTAGGGCGAGGAGGACGGAAGAACCGGCGGAGGTGGCCAACGAAGCCCAGACGGCATTGACTTGAAACTGACCAGGTTAGCTCAGTGGCTCTTAAGGGAAAGTCATATAGGGAGATAAACTGTGGGCCATCTGCGAGCGAGAAGGTGGGAAAAGATAAAAATAAATCAAAGCACGGACAATATACTTACAGCGGATTTGAAGGGATCCTGGATGAGCTTCAGGAATTGCTCTGTCGTATCCTCACGCCGCCATAGAGCACTAGTATCCATGATGCCTTGACGATCAAGGCGACATGGATTGAAGGGAATAAATAGAATAGATTAGAGGATAGAGGAACGGGCACGATGAAAAGAGAAAAGTAAAAAGAATGTCGCAGGAGCAATGAGACATCCAAAAGAGGGCAACCCGGAAAAATAGGAAGACGAACGAAGGTATGCACGATGGATGCGACAGATAAAAAGTGACAGCAAGAAGGATAGATAGGAAGGCGAAAGAGTGGGTAACCAGTGGAGATGGGCCTGGAACATATCAAACCTAGTTCGTCATCCTTTGGCTCCCAAACTCCTCGGAACGTTTGACAGTACGTACGGAGTACCGTTGGTCTGTAAATCCAGTGGGGTTAGGGGGAGTCTTTCTGTTTTTCTCGGCGGACGATCACTTGTACGGGAGAAGAAGATCGATGATCAAAAAATCCATGAGTGACGTCGAACGAGACCCTGACTCGAATGTCTCAGGCGATCCCACGCGTGATGCTTTTAATAGTGACCTTTCGTGTCGACAGTCGTTTCCCCGTCCACGCGTGAGCAGTTGGAAAAGTCCCCATTGGGAACGGGGGCCCAACAGACTAACTTCATTGAAAAGTCCCTCTCCATTCATGGCGAAATATTGAAAAACAACAAACCCTGCAAAAAATAGTTTTCGACCCCACCGGGCACCGCTGATTGGTGGGAAGCCAGCTTGACTCCCGACTGCTATTTTGGATCCCCAATCAAGGCCATCGGTTGGTTTGAAGTCTGGAACATGGTCCAGATTTTCTGAGACACGGGTGGGGCAAGCCCTGATTGGACATTTCTTACCGTTTTTGCCGGACATGGAATTTCTTTGTCGAATCCATGGTTCTAAATGGCTGAGCTTATGTGTTGCATGTAACATACCAAGTACATGGCATGAGCATCCAATACCCTTATATATACCTATCTCTTACTCCTACCACTACTTCTACTTCTTCCTCAACAGACAGAGCAACTAGACATACTATCATCATTATTATAATTATTCCAAGGAAGTCTGCTTCAAAAAGAAGAGGCAGAATAGCAAGAGAAAATGTGAGAACTCTAAAGTGCCCCGTGTGCCATTCAAAGAAACGATTCCACCGCCTTCATAGTAGAGATATAAGGAGCGCTGTCCAAGCTTCCTCTTATCCTGCTAGGAGATCATTGTCAAGTATCTCAGCATGAAGACGACCATTCCCTCGGCGCTCTTCCTTGCCTTTCTTTCTGTCAACCCTGTGGGTGCAGTTCCCCCCAAAGTGCCGAGCCAACCAGCTCCCAACCCATCTCCAGATACGCATGTGGAGATCTTGGACTCAAAGGTTCTCACCGGCGTAAGTCCGTCCTGGCTGTAAGAAGATATAAGCTATACAACTGACTGGATAAAGACATGCAAGCAAAACCCCAAAAGTTATTCCCGCAGTATGCATAGTGAATGTAGAACCTCCTCGGATCCGGAGTCAAATCGATGGATGGTCTATTGTCACTCAAAGTTCCAGGTAAGGAAACTCCTGAGATTGCTCAGTTATATCTATGTTAATGCTAGTAGTGCACCCGGAATGGAAATCCATGCACTATTCACCTCGTCACCACCAAGGCCAAGGGGGTTACAATAGATGGGGATGCACTTTGCCAATGAAGAGCTCCCTAGAGACGGAACCACAGCGAACATATCATCAGGTACTGTGGTATATACATCTGGGGTAAAACGGCGATGCAACTCCGTGTTTGTGGGTCAGAGAGGAGTAAATGTGGCTAATTCAATGGTACTATTGCCAATAGTAACCATTTCTCCGGACAAGTCCATACTAGACTTTAGCCCTCAATGCTAGTGTGATGTCGAATCCATGATAGATTGGATACTATCCAGAAAGGGAATCGCGTGGGTCATATCGCGTAGAGTAACAGGAGAAACAGGAAAAGGGGGCCGCTTGAGATTGGTATTGCTGATTACCTCCAACATAGTGTGCGGACATATGAAATGTCTACTGGTCATACGCACTAATTCCTAGATATAACGCAATCAGACACTGCTCCAACGCGAACCTGGGAATTTGATCCGAAGCTCGATTCAAAGACTCGGTACCGGGGTACTTACTTGCCTACACAGCACTATCTGACGCATCAAGTTTAGTTCTTCGTAAGGCTGAGGATGGAAAACTGCCACGGTGACGAGAAGCCACCAAGCCGCTGTGGGGCTTCTTACCTCAAGCCTGCGGGCAGTTATATATAAATCAACATCTCAAGGGACTAGTGACAGCACCCCCTATGAGAGAAGGATGGCGCGTATAGAGTCATCAATTAATTAGTGGATTCATCCTCATACTACTTCTACATACATCGTAATTGACCAATCACTCAACTCCCCCAGTCATGCAAATATTTCCAGTCACCAAAAGCAGCCTCTCCTTTTACAGTCAAAAAAAATAATGTTTCTTTTGTTCGTTTCCGTCCTTGGATTGATCAATTTATGTACTGGTATCTGATTCTTCGTATCGGCAGAGACATCGTATCAAAAGACATTTACAGCTGACCAGCAGTGTTGAAGTCCTCCAGGGCGACCTGGACACGCTTGCTCATAGTCTTCTCACCCTCACGCACCCACACGCGGGGGTCGAAGGACTTCTTGTTGGGCTTGTCCTCACCCTCGGGGTTACCGACAGCGGTCATGAGGTAGTCCTTCTTGTTCAGGATGTAGTCACGGATACCGGACATGTAGGCGAACTGCATGTCGGTGTCGACGTTGACCTTGACGACACCGTAGCTGATGGCCTCCTTGTACTCGGCCTTGGTGGAACCAGAGCCACCGTGGAAGACGAAGTAGACAGGCTTGTCCTTCTTGGAGCCAATCTTCTCCTTGACGTAAGCCTGGTGCTTGCTGAGAAGCTCGGGGTGGAGCTTGACGTTGCCGGGCTTGTAGACACCGTGGACATTACCGAAACCAGCGGCAATGGAGAAGTAAGGGCTGATGGGGGCGAGAGCGTTGTGGATAGCCAGGATATCCTCGGGCTGGGTGTACAGGGAGTTGTTGTCAACGTCCTCGTTGTTAACACCATCCTCCTCACCACCAGTGATACCGATTTCCTAAGAATCCGTTAGACTCGGGGAATGTCATTTGCAGGGGCAGAGGCATCACTCACCATCTCGAGCCACTGCTTCATGGGGGCGGCGCGCTTAAGGTAGGCAGCGGTGGTTTCGATGTTGTACTCGACGGACTCTTCAGAAAGATCAATCATGTGGCTGGAGTAGAGGGGCTCGCCGTGAAGCTTGAAGTAGCGCTCATCCTCGTCGAGGAGGCCATCGAGCCAAGGGAGGAGCTTCTTGGCACAGTGGTCGGTGTGAAGGACAACGGGGATGCCGTAGGCGGGGGCAATGCTACGGATGTAGTGGGCGGCAGCGATACCACCGGCAATGGAGGCATTCTGGCCGTCGTTGCTGACACCCTACAATGAGGGATATTAGCGGGATGCTCTGGGCTGTTGATCCAGGTGCGAGTAGGGGTTGATTTCGACGTACCTTGCCAGCGAAGTAGGCAGCGCCACCTTGAGAGAGCTGGAGGATGATGGGGCATTTCTTGTCGCGAGCAGCCTCGAGGGAAGCAACGACAGTGGAAGAGGAGGTCACGTTCTAGACACGGGTGGACTGGTCAATTGGGTGAATCACCTTGGATGGTCCCATCGAGACGACTTACAATGGCGGGGATAGCATAGTTGTTCTCCTGAGCGTGCTCGAAGAGACGCAGGACGTCATCACCGACGATGACACCGGCCTTGCGGGAAAGCTTATCAAGGACACCCATTGTGATAGTTGAAAGATTAGATCAGATAGCTGGTCTTGCTCGACTAAGAAGAATTCGATTAGTTTGGAAGAAGAAGAAAAAGAGAAGGAAGAAACGGAGGACGTGGACAGCTAGAAATAAGTTCTGTAGGAGCTTCCGAACTAAGGATCTTTACCGAACGACGAATACGGAGCAGGGGATTGAATACAAGTGTCATTGGCAAAGGGAGGGAGGGAGGAGGGGCAGCTGAGCCACTCATGGAGGGGCAACCGCCCTCGAAAGAACTCACCGGGTAGTGGGGAACGGATGGTATCAGTATGATTTCACTGACCGGTTGCTGGCGTGATGATGGTGAAAATAATGGAGGGGGAAGAGGAGAACGCCGGGGGTGGGTGGGTTCGGATCCTATATAAGAAAAAACGGAAAAGGGAAGAAAGGAGAAGAAGCCGAGAAACAAGGCAGAAAGAAGTAGTATTCAGTTAGTCATTCCCAAGTTGTCCCTCATTTTTCGAAGTTGCCCGAGGGTAAACGATGGACATTCGTGTCCCTCTTCCCTTTTCTTCCCGTGACGACTGGACTGGTTTTGGTGGGGTTCAACGATGACGCTGGGTTGCTGGCCTCAGGCTCAACACAGAACCCAGGCGCTTCCCGAAAACCCCCGCCATCACATGACATCATCACCTTCTTTTCGTCCATGGACCCGAAACACCTATGACATGCCATTCAAGAGAAGAATAATAATAACAAATAGAAATAAATTCTCCTGTGTGAGATCCACCGTCAAACTCTTTCTGGATACCCTCACTAACCGGTTCGTACACACAACACATGGTGATGTTGATGTTGTTGCTGCTGTTGAGCGAATCTGGGGTTCTCCTCTCCTGCTAAAACATTGACCCATTCCCTCTCCGTGTTTCTTTCGTGCTATAGCCCAACATCGGGGAAATCGGCGGAGATCTCATCCCCGTACCCGTTCTTCTCTTTCCAACTCTTTCGGCATCCTTCTGTCCTTTATGTCTTTCGTTGGCTAGGCCCTCTGGCCCCTGCTCAGCTGACACTGAAAAAAGAAAATAGTCCTCATAATCATAATCTAAAAAGGTGGGGAAAGCCTTCACGCAGCGGTGTTGTTCTATTCCGTCCCAAAATAGTACGATGTATGCATCCATCCTCGGGAAGTTCCCCTGATAAGCCACCACCTTTACCGGTTTATTGGTGGAAAAGAGTCCTCCATCTCGTTCCGCCTGTCATGGAGTACCGATTTACTTGCGCGTTGCTACGAACCAATGCCCCGTCAGAATACATACATTTGGATCCGATTCACAATGTAAATCTCATTGACCAGAATGACACTAGAGGGCGGTCAGGATGGGGCCATAGATTGCATAATACGCCAGAAGAGATGCGTAATGAACTGGTGGGATACTAACCCACTTCATCGTTCTCAATTGATCTGAGGAAGTTAGCGTTAAATTCTGATCGAAGCATGTCTGCTTAAGTTATGCTCCAAGCCCTTGAATAGGCTAGATTAGCCCTAGGTTAGTCGCCTCTTCATCGAACATGTAGCCCTCGGTCCAGATCGGTAATTGAGGACTTGACATGACAAAAGAAGCCGATCTTATCTTATACTACTATCTTCCGTTATGTCTGCAGCTTTCCCAACGCAGACTTATACAATAGATCTGGGCCGCCATATTTGACATCTAGCTGTGATTGCTCAGTAATTCTTTGGTTTAAATGGCTCGTATAGCGGATCAATGCATCTGCTCATCAAAACTACGGTATATAAAATTTAACAACATAAATAAGAGGACGTATCTCCCTGATTCGAGTATGCATCCTATCTGCTCTACGTGAAACAGTGCTCTGTGTCACGTCTCGTGTACCGTTAAAGAGGTGGTAGGGTAACTGCAAGATAAGTGGCCTCAACTTTCATCCACGATGTATAGCCCGACAAACGATCATCAGCATTTTTACATCTCACCAATGGTGTCGTATGCTTGTTCTGACAGGCTAGTGGATCCTGATTCCTTGGTAAAGATGTGAATTGATAGACCGGCATGCTGGTAGGAACGTCATGGGCAATAACCGGAGCCGACATGATAGCAGTGGTACTTTGATATATGACCGGGGAAGCTTCATTAACGGAGGCTCCCAAACAAAATAGTTTGTGTAGGCATATGTACTTTAGATTGACGATTAGACTTCATTTTCCCTGTTCTCTCAGTATCAAATCCGAACTTTGTCTGTTGGCAGATACCAGTTCAGAATAGTATGTTATGTTTTATATGTAGGGCAAGACGGCTGCAGGCTTTCGGGTCAACCAACCTGTGACCAAAAAGCATACACTTCAATCCAATCTGATCTTGTTCTGTACTGAAAGTCCCTCCAAATAGCTAGTGGAATTCTGACTGATATCCCACGTTGATGATACGAAGCAAGTACGGGAGTTGTGCATCCTTCCCCATACACTCTTCCTGAACCTACCAGTCAACACAGTGGCGATTAGCGGCGATTGCGACTACTTTTGACGAGATTTGCATCTTTTGCGACTTGATAATGAAGGCCTTCTAGAGCCTTAGGGGAATCACATTGTGACTCGTCAGGTTCTCCACAAACTCAATTCTAGAATTCTAATAAAGTTGTATATATGAAATGAGCACTGTTCCTTCAACCCCGCGGTTACCTCCGTCTCAATTGCATCCATAACGATCGATTATCTCTCCTACATCATGCGTTCACAGTGAAAGGCTACCATTTCCACGTAGTCTCGTCGAATGCATTTGCTGAAAAGCCACCCTTCCGTGGTTTCACAGTGAAACCAAAGACAGAGCAGAAAAACGACAGCAAAGCCTTCTCATGGTTGAGGTATAGAAGCAAAGATGAGCACTAACTCAGAAAGCTAACCTGAAAAGGCTTGGGTGAAGGCAACTGTGGAGCTGCCAAAGAAGCTCTCGGAAAGCTAACTCGACTGGTCTATCGACCATGTTTCTATAGTTCGTGTGCCGTATACGAAGTTGTGGACTCATTCACCACATACTGCTTATGCCCTCTCAGGAGCAGAAGATGATGCGAAATGATCCGATAGCCGAGTTTCTAGTGATTCAACCACTGAAGTTCTGCATCTTTCATCTAACTAGTGTGCCTTTGCCCTACTTACATAAGCGGGAAATCCGAATTAGGCAGGCGATGGCGGGGGCTCAGTACATAGAGAGGTGGCCAAGATTGTTTTGATAGGAGATGATTCTAGCTAGAGGAAGAGGATAGCTGGATGGCCGCCTCCTTTGTGGACCAACTCGAGTTGAACCCCTCACTGCTTAGAAATCAAGACGCATGCCTCATGGCGCTGTGATTCGACTTTTGCCAGGCAGAGTACTTGGCGCAAAAGTAGATATAAAAGCACACTCACAGTCCAGGTTAAGCTGTGTTACCTTGTACAATTAAAGCTCATATACGCTACTCATTGACTTCCCTCACTCTCCCACTGACCAAGAATGGCTGCAAGAAACAAATACGTGAACAAGCTGCATGGCCAACACATCGTCATCTTCGGAGGGACCTCCGGCGTCGGCTTCTGTGTAGCTGAAGCCAGCATCGAGCATGGCGCCAACGTTACGATCCTCTCCTCCGACCCGAACAAAGTGGACGCTGCCCAAGCGCGCCTTCTAGCATCCTATCCCGAGGCCAAGAACCGAGTCCGCGGCTTACCGATTGACCTCGGAGCGCCAGATGTTGAGGATCAACTGGTGTCATCGTTCGAGAAAATGCAGCCGCTGGACCATATCATCTTCACAGCGGGAACGTTCAAGTTTGACTCGGAAGACTGGACGCAGCCTCGATCCGACTTGGACCGAATCCGAAACACTGCCAATGTCCGCATTATCGCCCCGTTCCTCATCGCCAAGCATGCGCCGAAGTATATGGCAAGCAACTCGCCCGCTTGCTCCATCACACTCACCAGTGGAGCCACGGCCGAGAGGCCCATGGGACAGGGGATGGCTATGCATACCATGTACTCGACAGGCCTGTACGGGCTCGCAAAGAACCTCTGCTTAGATATTGCGCCGCTCAGGGTTAACCTCGTCAGTCCTGGTCCCATTGATACTGAGCTGTGGGACACCATTCCGGAAAAAGAGATTATGTTCGCCCATCTAAAGGAGAAATTGCCCATCAAAGAGATCCCAACGCCTGAGAATGTGGCAGAAGCTTATATATACTGTATGAAGGATCGTGGATTGACCGGAGCAATCATATCAACACATGGTGGAGGAATTCTCGTTTGAGCGAGTGCTCCTTTTAAGTACTTATCGAGAACTGCTCTATCAATAGATGAAATTTGGATTTTGTCGTGACGGATTCATTCATTCGTAGACATGATGCCAATGATCAAAAAAGATAAGAAATCTAGACAAATCTATGTCCAAGTCAACAAAGCACCAACCCAGCAACAACACACCAGTTCCAATTCCACCGGCTGGCATGCTTCAAATCATCCACATTTAGCATCCCGACTCCACTTTCAACTAGAATATTCCACAGCTTCGTCCGTAACGCAACCGGCCACCCAGGTATATCCCAAAATCTCGAGACTAGCCCCCTCTCCGCCGCCACCTCAATCAAATCCCGAATCACCTCTTTCTGACGCTGGCTAGGCCCCCAAAGAAAGATCTTCCCTACCGCTTGGTTCAGTGAAACGCTCGCGTAGTACGAGGTCCCACGGGAAAATATCTCATTTCTAGTCAACCTATCCAGCGGAGCATCGAAGAATACATCTCGGTTATTGGACACCGCCGTGACTAGATCAAAAGGCGTGTTTCCTGTACCGACAACGGTTAGTGGGCGTGGCACGAAGGCCTCAGCGGTGCGATTCCAGTACGTAAGCCAGCCTCGGGAGCGCAGTGGTTCCAGACTCTTCATTAGGACAGGCCAAGTCTTCCTTCCGTCCGTTTTTATATCAACTAACAGCACGAGGGTTGTGTTGGGACTTGTATCGAAGACCCCGCTTGGCTGCGTTGAAGGAGGCGCGTCTACGCTATTGGGGTTCTGTTGTGAAAGGATCTCCACCAATGGGTCAATGTAGAGAGCTTTCAGTGTACGACTTGACGATAGCGACCGCTTCGCATGACCCACAAGTAGGTCCTGAGAGGAGCTTTCGAGCCAGATGTCTGCTTCGACGCCTGTGCAGCCAGCTGCGAGGGCATCATAGAGAGGAACCCGGCGCCAGTAGTCATTGTGGGAATGGCATGGGATTGGAGTAACGCCTTGGCTCCAGTCAGTGGGCCAAGGAGAGAGTAATGAAACGGAGTCGGACGGCTTTTTCCACGTCTTGGTAATCTGGGACAGCCCGTTGTGTGGCTCAGTTGGAGTGAGTCGGGCGATGAGTACTAGAACCAGTGAAAACCATACTCTGTTGATGATTGTAAGCGAATGAGTGTGTATTTCAGGTGCGGACAGACAGGATACGTACACCAATGCAAGTCCAACTATGCTTAAACTGATGAGAATATATAGTATGATGCGGTTCCTAAGCGTCTTCCTCTTTGTCTTTTTGGCAGGACTTTTGAAGGATTTAGGCCGTTGAACCCATGAGGTAATTCGTCCGATCCATATTGCAGTACGTGCAGGCCGAGGTGGATTGTCAGCGAAGGGTAAATCAGTCCTCTGGTTAATCATAGTCACCATCTACAAGGTTCTCTCAAGCGTAGGGTGTGAACATCCGTTAAGGGAAAGTGGTTGCCTGTATGGGTGAATCTCACGACGGCCGGCATGCAGCAAACAATGCGCTGGTTGGGTTGGAGTCTTATAATAATAGAAATGCCACAAATACCGTGTTGATTGATGTACATACCGTGGCACAACAAAGAAACCCTGTCGTTAGCAGGTACACAATGAAAACGCCCGAGTGCCCGAGCACCAGTCGATCAAGGCGCTATGATTTACTTGGAGTACGCTCTTCGCCTGTCAGTCGATAGTCGTTTCTGACCTGGGAGGCAATCTCAATCTATGATCGTTCCTAAGAAAAACGCAAGACTACTCCGGTAATGTATCATCCACGTCACTGGAATTTGGTTGCATACGAAAGGGAATAGAACGATAGCAGCACTCTAGAAGTCAAGAGTAACATGGGGCCGAGCGACACAGGGTTACCCAAGTTAGATAAAACTTTCCGTATCTATCGAGATGTATATATCTACGTTACATTTCCCAACACCGAATATATATAACGCTCAGTGATCAGCTCAGACTACCCTGGCCGGGCTCAGATCCCGCAAGCAAAGCGCAGTGTCGTCTGAGTACTATATAGAAAATAATGAGTGGTGCGCGGAGCCTCGGTTGGAAAAGATGTGTACACTGGACCTTTCCACGCACCCCATGCAAAGAAACTGCCGTCTGATGCCCAGGACCAGCCTTTAGCTTCTCGTCAGGCGATTATGAACCCTGTAGGCCACTGGTTGGCTTCTCCATCTCGTAGAATAGGAGATAGACCTCTTTTTGCATACCCAGAACGTCCGACGTCTTACATTCCTTGACCTTCTCATCCGAGATCCGCCACCATCGATCGTTTGCCTTACGACGACGACGGAGACGCGAAGTGGGCCCAGTGAAAGTCTCAGTAGAAGTACCGGGAGTTATGCGATCGCTCATAAATGATGGGCGCGAGCTGGACTTGCTCCAGCGTCCACCGTCAGTTGCAGGACTCTGGGGATCCGAGGTCGGAGACAGATTCTGCTTGGATTTGGTGCGGCTACTTTGGAAGGACACACGGGAGCTCGATGACGTGCTTGGCCGGGGGGCCGGGGATGCCGGAGGATTCAATTGAGATGCAGCTGTAGGGGACTTCTTCCTCGATGGGGATCGCGACGGGGCCGGAGAAAGAGACGAAGAAGATGGCGAGGTTGAAGTCGAGATGCTAAGAGCTGGAGGCTCTGCATCTAAGGAACGAGGCCCCATGCGAGGGCTTGGTACTTGCGATGGATTCTCACTTGTAGCTCGGCTCTGTGCATACGAACTGAAGACATCCGGTGTCGAGAAAGGCGGATAGAGATGGTTTCGTCGGAATGATTCGTAATGGCCACTGTTGTGACTGCCTTTGTGGCAAACAATCGCCAGCAGTTTGAACCACTTTTGATTCAGGATACCCCCCAGCGGAAGTCGTTCAGGGAATGCCACCTTTGCCGCGTTCTTGGTGGAACTGCTGCGGTCGAATATAGACCGTGAGAGATGGATTGCAATGATCTTAGGGAAGACCGTAATGCGCATATGGCGTGCAATCTTTCTCCTGGGAGCAGCCTCTGCGGGTGGAAGAGTAACGCCTTCCAGCAGGCCCTCTGGATCTGTTGACAAAGCGTCTTGTAATTTTTGAATTTCGGTCTGGAGGATCTGCTGCTCTTTGGCCCCGCGTGTTTGCTTCAGCTCTTGCATTTTCACTTCGACTGCATGTTGCAGACGACATCTGTCACACCTAAAATCGTCGATGTGTTCGGTCTTGAGGAGGCCATCGAAACACGCGCTGAGTGTGGTGGAACTCTTCTGCGGCACTTGTAACGTCAAGTTGACAAACGAGGTCTGGTTGGGCTTGTACTTATAATGACAGAATTGACATTCAATTTGCGACTCGAGCTTCCCCTCGAACGGAAACCCATACTCGTTGTCGATCTCCTTGAGTTTGGTATCGATGATTGCCGGCAGGCCGTTCTCGGATCCGTCATCAATGCGTACCTCAACCTCAGATGGGCTCTTGGCGGATGTGACATCTTCGGTACTTTGTGAAATTTCCGAGCCTGTGGGTATGTCAATGGCCCCCTGTAGTCTCTGTCGGGCTTTGACACCGGCATGGTATTCATCACAAAGCCGTTCGGCGACGATTTGCAGGAACTCCTGTGCATCCTGTTGGTTACGGCTAATCCGGGTCCGGTATGCGTATTCGAGAGCCTGGATGAATGGACGCGCTGAAATTGTCTTCTTGTAAATCGGGCGCTCATTCAGACGGTCTAACATCTCTTTCAAAGCTCGGGTGATCGTGCCCTGCTGCAACTCCCGGATGTTTTCCGCCTTCTTACCGCCGGCGAGCTCTGTTACATCTGGTAGAGAGTTATAGACCTCCGGTCCATCCAGCTCACGCCGATGGAGTTCTCTAATCAGATAAACACGCAAGTCACCCAGGCCAGCAAGCGCCTGCAAGACCGAGTTGATGAAGCAATCATTGGCGGGATTGGATAGGCCAACAATGCTTTTTTTACGGTTGCTATCACTTGACTCATCCCCATCGATTGTGTAGTTGGGTCCGAAGACGTAAAAGAGGGCGACAGCGGCGAGGGAGGCGCCAGCCGCATATGCGGCGACGGTGGTTGATTTTTCTTGCATCAACTATATATAGGAGAAAAGGGCCGGAAATTGATGGCTAGCAACAGGTCGCACGTCTCTTAGAAGAACCAAAGTTCGCCTATCGCTGCTCCATGGATGGTCGTGCTATGAATCCTGGGCGGGGGTCCTCTACCGAACCAGGACCTGGCGGATGGGGAATGCCTAAATCCCTGTAATCTTCCGCTTCAACCGAGCGAGTGTAGAGGAAGGCGATAACGGAGTTGAGTCGGGGTAAATACGCCGCCCAATGTGTAAATTGAGCTGGTGTGGAGGTCGAGGATCGCTCTCATCGGCTATACCGGGAGAGATAAATAGTGTCAGCTCTGTCTCTTCAATTTTGCCTTTCTTTTCCCCATAAACCCGAGGATGTGGAGAAGAATGGGGTAAAGAAAGACAGAAGGATTGGGAGTGGCCAATCATTGGGGTTAGAAAACTTACAGGAATGATGCAATTTAAAGATCTTTGGGTTCAGGTATCCATGACCATTTGACGGGTCTCATCTGCATTGTCATCACGACAAGGGAATAATTGAGGGCCATTATAAGAAGGGAAGCCCACTGGTCAATGTTTGTTTGATTTGCCGGAGGGACCTTTTTAGTCGCCGGAAGTTCATCAACGCCGAACCCGACAGGACTAACTTACATACTGGGTCCGTAGTATACAGTACGTACTAGGTACTGGACTCCGTATGTAACTTTCGGGGGATCCCCCACACGACACTGGCAGTTTTACCCTTGTCGTTCTCCCGTATCGTTCCGCTCTCCCCCCATGGTTGGGAAATTTCATACTGAATGGAATGCATGCATATCTTTCGGAAAACTAGTAGTAAAACTAAGTATATGACTCTACCCTAGGAATACTAAGGAACACCCCCCCCTCCTGAAGTTGAGAAATGACGACGCCAAAGGGGATCAGCACACTATGTGTTCATGATCAGCAGGAGTTCATTCGTAGTGCGAGAAGATATTCTGCGGGGAATGGACCACAGTCCCGCTAAGCCATTGTCATTTTCCAACTTTCTCCCGATGTTTCTCCATCAATGAGCTACCCTTGGACTGTAAGAAATGATAGAGGCAATGCGGTCAATCTAGATTGGATTTTGCACAAGTGTTGAGACAACTTATTCTGGCATATGTTATCTATTTATAGATTCGTCCAGGAAAATTAACGACATGGTATATAGATAGACTTTTTCATGAACCGTTCCACAGCATCGCTGGAGATCGTACGCAGAATTCCCTGCCAAATTGCTTTTTGTTCGAAATTATCTATGGCAAAGTGGCAACCTTCTGCTGGAACAGATCTTCTGCTTGCGTCCAGACGCGAGCGTTCTTCCGATCCTTCAACTGCAACAGACTAGGAAGCAGTGCTTGACTGAACATCTCGGAGCTTTCACGAGGGAGAAGCGAGGGGAGATGGTCGATACTGATCACGCTAAGAGGGGGGCCTTGCGTTCCCGCCGGCAGGGTGACAGGCACTGTGGGCTTGTCAAAAGTGGTGGTAATATCGTACACGGGAATAGGGTTGTTGGGGTTAGTGCTGCATCAAAGGTGAAGTCAGTAGGCTGCACAGGTGAGAAGGGCAATGATCAGAAGCGGTACTCACGTATCAGCGCTCACGTCACAAATGACAGACAAACGGCGGTTAGGGGTAGAGAGAGATGCAACGTTGACAAATGCGGGAATAGACTCGCTGGAAAGATAGATGCAGTTGACGAAGATATCTGCGTCGACAATCTCCTGGAAAGGACCGCCTATTTTGACGAGTTAACATCAAGTTTGTCAAAGTTAAAGTATAAACAAACCCTTCTTCGTCTCCTCGATATCCCACTGGATGATATCAGATTCGGGGATACCAACATCCTTGGCAAGTTGTACAGCACCGCTGCCGCAACGTCCAAGCTGCACATTATCAGTTATCTTGCCGTGGGGTCCAATACAAAAAGCACACTTACAGCTCCGATGACAAGAATCTTGGGGGACCGGCCGGATTGCTTCTTGCCAGCTTCCAGGGACTCCTTCACGGACTGAGTGAGGAGCTCCTGGTTAGCGTACGGAACCTCACCGGGCAAAGGCTCGCCCTCAGGATGAGTCAATTGCCAAGCCCAGTTCTTCACAGCCAATGCGGAACCTATACTGGCATCAATATCGGTTATCAGCGCTTCAAAGCGGCAAAGCACATACCGGCATAACCGGCCGACCAGCCGAAAGCTATGAATGGGAAAGTTAGTAATTATACAAGCCGTATAGCAAACGAACGTGGACAATGGGTTCTCACCAGCAACTCTCCGTCCAACTTCATCAGTGAGGAACTCCAAATCCAAGAGGGTTCCGCCTCCACGAGGCCACCGGCTGAGAACCTTCTCCCAGCCTCCCTGTTTCTTGTAGCAGTGGGCAAAGGTAATATGGACGTGTTCAAGAGGAAAATCGTCCTCGGGCAGTTCCTTGAGACCCAAAACGTATGCATCCTTGGGAGCATCCTTGGCCCAGGATCCCTCCTCGACTAGTGGGGCACCAATCTATTCCACCGGGCGTTTGTAAGTCTTTAGACAATTAGGGAGCAGGGCGAACGTGTAAATGTACCTTTGCGAATTCCTCATCTAGTTTAAGGAAGAGCCTAGTCAGCCTTCACATCCTGGATAGTGGAGCTTTGATTGACCACCTACCATCGAAGATTCGCTGTGTAGAGCGTTCTACAGTCACTTCATAGCCAGCATCCATAAGAGCCTTGGCAGTAGTTGGGGTCACTGCGAGGAATTAGCATTTATATGTCATAATTGCTGGCAATAGCATAATGACAGATAGCAAATGACTCCTCCCACGCTACTTACAAGCAGACCGAGCCTCGGCGGGCTTGGTTTCAGCACGAAGCCAGATCTTGTTGGAAGACATTGTATGTGAAGGTCAATTGACAGTTCCCCGACCGATATGTTGCGGAGAGAAAATGAAGAATTTCACAATTGCCCAGCGTATGCTTATAAAGACGGTAGATAGTTTATCTCATGGGTATGACACAGACTTTCCCGTCTAGTGATAGTGGGGGAGGGACATCGGATGTTCTCCCGCTCCGGGAGTGGTGACTCAACCCAGAGAGTCTTAGCCGATGTCGGTAGTACTTTGTGGGACCGTGGGCATCCCCGAAGATTGAAGGTTAATGATACTGCCGGTTTCTATACGTCTACTAAGCAGGCCATATCATCACCATTCATTCATTCCCTTCTACATCATGTCATTGTCTCCAGAAGAAAGAACATCTATTTCAATTTTTCCCAGGCAATAGCTGGTTCCATGTAGCATTATAGAAAATTGGTTCATTCACAAGCTAGAGCTTTACAAGATCCGGAGAAATAGAACTTAGCTAGCGAACATAGAGTTTTGCGCATACATTGGACCTGCTAGACAACTGGATCAAGAGGGACGTAGAGTGAAAAACGTATGTGAGCTCTGCGGAATGCGACGGTATGTTCGCAGCGATACCGTCGGAGCTTAGGAGGATGCCTTAGTCCGGCTGCGTGTTCGACTACCAATACCATCCGTAGGAATTACCTTCTTCACCTGATCCTTCGCTTTTTTAGAACGACTTGCCTTTGCTTTTTCCCCATTCGTAGCAGGTGCTGTAGTATTGCCATTCCGAGTCCGCGTTCCAGCAGTCCTCTGCTTTTTGTTTGCGGGCTCCGTCGGGTTCTCAGCATTAGAATTAGCTGTGCTGGCGGGCGTAGAGGCCGGTTTATGCTCTCGTTTATCGCCTGCACTAGGTTGCGCGATACTACTCTCCGCAGTTGACTCCTTGGGTCCAGCATCTGATAGGATAGAAGCATGCTCACTAGACTTGGCTTCTTCAGAGGGTTTGTGTTCCTTGGAAGACTCGGTCGCTTCGGGAGACTTCTTCTCCTTCGATTGGTCGTCTGCATCCACAGGTTTGGCCGGAGTGCTATCACCATTGGTTTGCTTGGAAGCAACATCGGTCGTGTTGTTGTCTGTGCCAGCGCCAGATGCAATACCCGCTTCTACTTCAAGAATCAGCCTGAGTCCGATACATTTCGCTGTAGCTAGGTGAGATGGGCATTGGCGATGATGTCATCATCAGGTGTGACATGTGTACCGCCTTCTAGACATACCTGGGGCTGGTGGTAGGTTGACGCTGCTATCTGGCTCAGGAGCCATAATGAGAAATGGTGTGGACAGGCGCGGATGAAAGATACTTTCAGCAGTGTTCAGGTGAGCCAAATCTAATTGGAGTGTGATCGCAAGGAGCAAGCGACCTTGAAAATCGCTAAGTGGCGGTCTACTGGGGTGAGAACCACTTGTAGAGTGATGGGAGGGAGGATAGAAGGTCACAGGAGGTTGAGAGGTGAGGTTGAGAGGTGAGGTTGCGCGGTGACATTTACTAAGACCATCTCATGCCAGCGCGCTAACCCGTTCCACACGGAACTCAATCTTGGGCTGGTCCGTCAGCAAAACACCAATTAGAAAATGGCATATTAAATTACCCCGAGGATCAGCTCGAGGCGCACATAAGCCTTCCCTGCACTGATTGTGTTGCCCGTCTTGATATGTAAGCGTGCCAAGAAGAGGAGAAGGAGACCCATTAGCGTGACTGAGTGGAGCAAAATAATGCGGAGTTCTCCTCATAGCGTGTTTCGGGTACGCCATCCATCTGGATAATGGTAAACCCGATTGTCACCTGCAGATCCAGATTGACGAATCATTTGCCTACTACCTAGGTTGCCTGCATACCCCGTAGAGATCTTAAACCCAAGATGAAAGGCACATAAACGAAAAATATCACCCTAAGCCTGGGGCCAGACGGCCACCGCTTTACAGAATATGCCGCTTCGCCGTCAATAGCAATGGTTACGCATATCAAGCCAATGCCAAGTCAAGTTGTGATAGTAAATCTTCCCTCTCTGTGTAAGCGCGGTGATTTGATTTGGATGTATTTTCTGAGTCCGCTTTTTCGGGTAACTGCTGTTGCAAGAAACGTGCCAGGTATAAGACATCCCGTCGCTTGTCTTGGTCCGCCAAGAGACGAAGAGCGTCAAAGCCGGCACGCATGAAGCTTTCTCGTTTCAGTCCTGTCGAAGAGTCCACCCGGCCAGGAGGTAGTGTATCCACAAAATCGAGGAATGGTTTGGCATCAGGGTGTGTAGGGTGATACAGCGGGGCTGTAGCTACCAGAAACGATTTCGGTGCGAGTCTGGAAAGCACTTCGATATACTCGTTGTACATAGCTCCGTCAAGCTCTTTGGATTTGGACGGTGAACTCCGCATCAAGCTCTCCCATAAGTGAACGCCTGCTGGAAGGAACACAGGTTGCCAGGAAGGGTTCAGAAACGCGTTGTCTTTGAGCATCTGCGACTTGCATGTCTGTAGGTAATACCGCATAGCCAAGCCAAGCCCTTGACCGTACTGGATTTCGGCGGTCACTAAGTTGACCAGTAGATGGCCAAACACCTGTTGCGCAATTTTCTCTGGTAACTGACCATTCCGGCCTCCAATATCGTGGTCCGCCAGCATCCTCAGCCAATCCAACACCACACCCTGTCGACCTTCTGCCACTAAGAACTTTACTAGAGTTGTGGTCGCTGCTCGGGATTTGAATAACATCTGTCTTGTCGCGGAATCAGATGCAAACCACCAACTGACAACCTTGGATCCAGCCCTAGCGTCTTTCATGGCCTGTATGAGGCCGCTTCCGATATGACGGCTTGCCAGTAGCATCTGGGAGCTCAAGCAGTCACGTAGTGTTGGCAGGGTTACCGAACCTGAGGCAACCAATTCATCAAAAACCACCATTGGTTCTTTTGCTATTCTCTGTTGTAGTCTACTGGCTGATCCACTTCCATTACGAGCCGCAGCAGACTTGGAGGGTACTACCCGGAACAGCGGATTTTCCAGGATGGCCCGGAGATGTCGATCGGTCGCGTGCACAGACGAGTGCGGGTTCTCCGGTGTACGATCATTAGATGCATCTCGATCGGAGGGTACCGAGGGGGGGTATTCCCGATCGAGCTGACGACGGAAGGAAGACGTAAGGGCTTTGAGGAGTTGTTGAGATTCCCGGGGGGTACGGGGTAGTGGGGGGTGGATTTTCGACCATGCCTTCAAGCTCAGACTCGACGTGCCTTTCATGACGGCAAGAGGAAGGAAGGGGGCAAACAATGGTGGACCGGTAGTGTCATATACTATCGATAATAATCGTGCCCTCTCTCGCTCTCCCTTTGGTAGATACCTCAGGTGGTGCCAGGGGGGGCGGTGAGGAATGCGAGGAATGGAACGAGAAGATCCTCAAAGGGTCAATAAACTCCGACTGGGGGGCACTGTAGGGGTAGAAGATTTGTATAGATACGTATACACACGGTACGAGTCCGGTAATCTTCGTACCAAAAAAGAGAGGGAGGAGGAAAGGTGTATAATCGATTGGATCTCGACGAGAGAAAAAACCAAAATGGATGACGAAATGCCGGACTGAGAAGGGTTCACCTCCAGGTAACAGATCCGGGAGCAAGCAGCGTTGCCTTTAAAAAGCGGCACACTAAGGCGAAAGGCTCCAGTGCAAGTCACGGACGCCGCTCGGATCGTCCAACCAACGAAACGGCTGGTGGTTAGCGCCGTTCGCTAAATGGGCGACAAAGTTGCCTGGAGGGTCTCTCTCCCTCCCTGCAGTGGGTTCCAACACGTCGGTCGGACTCAACTGTACCTAAACTCGTACTTAGACCTCTCACTCAAAACTCTTCCCATTCCTTCTTCCCTCTCCATTTGGTTCCCTATTCCATATAATTTATGCTCATCCTCTTTTAGCTCCCTTTGGACTTCTTTTTCCCTTTTTGTTCGTTTTTTCTTTTCCTTCAATTCTTTTCTCTCCTCCCCTCCCTGGACTCTCTCGCCCCCTCTGGAACCGCCGCATCGAGTTCGGGCGGTCCTTGTGTGCGCTCTGTGGTTCTAGTTGCTGACCTCTTCCGTGAGGCTGCATCTGTGATCATTGCCTCTTTTTACCCGCTTTTTCTTCCCACTAGCCGCACCTTGTTTTCCACACCCCCTTCGTCCAAACCCCCGTTGGGTCTTCCTCGATTCTCCTTCGACTCTCTTTTCTCCAATCCGGAGATTTACTAGATTCCCCCATCAGAAGATATGTCTGAAGCTCAAACGAGGTCTTCTGCCTCTCGTGGCAGGGTATCCGCTCGCGGCGGTCGCGGTGGCTATAGCTCCAGAGGTGGTCGAGGTGGCAGCAGATCTGCAAAGGCAGACAACTCAGATAGCACGCCCGCTACATTCGAAGACGAGGGAGAAATTGGTCAGATGAAGAAGAAATATGCAAACACTCTACCCATGCTAAAGGAATTGTTCCCTGACTGGACGGACGAGGATCTTGTCTTTGCGTTGGAGGATGCAGACGGCGACCTCGAGGAGGCAATTGATCGCATAACTGAAGGTTCGCCGTCGATCTCGATCCAATCTGTGATTTCTTGTCACACAGCTGGACTAACATCGGTTTTTGTCGTGATATAGGTAACGTTTCTCAGTGGGGTGAGGTAAAGAAGAAGACTACAGACCGGAGCCGCCCCAAGCCAAAGGAGGCACAGAGCACCCCGACCGAGTCGACTACTGCTCCCATTCGAGGAGGCCGTGGACGTGGTGGATTTGAGAGCCGTGGTGGACGTGCTCGTGGAGATCGTGGTCGTGGCGGTCGTGGCGGTCGTGCTGGTGCCCACACCAATGGCAGCCGTCCAGAGAAGCTCGCTGCTCCTACCACAGTGGAGACAGCTACCCCCGAGGTCACCCAGACTGAGAAGCCGACCGATGCTGAACCTACAGCTCCTGAACCAGTCGACGCCTCGAGTGTACCGAAGCCCACTGTGGTCCCCGAGGGTACCAAGAAGGGTTGGGCAAGCTTGTTCGCGAAACCGGCACCTCCTCCTCCCCAGCAGAAACCTGCTGCTGCCGCTCCAGTACCAGCCCCGGCTCCAGCTCCTGCTGCCGCTGCTGCACCTGCGCCTGCGCCTGTGCCTGCCCCCGCTGCCGCTGCCGCTGCCGCCCCTGTTCCCGAGAAGCCTGCTGCCGAACCAGTGCCCGAGCAGAAGGAACAGAACGAGCAGAAAGAACAGAAAGAGCAGAAGGCGCCTGAGCCTGCACCCGTCCCTATTCCGCCTCCGGTTCCGGTTCCTATGGAGAAGGCGCCTGAGCCTGTTATCCCTCAGCCTCTCGAAAAACCTGCTGTGCCCGCCCCGGCGACTGAAGTTGCAGCCCCCAAGGATGATTTGACCAGGACGAATCTTGCGCAGATCCCCGACGTCTCTCCCCCGGCTCCCACAGCCACCGCTGCTAGCACCGTGGGCAGCGCCCTTGATGCTAACAATGCTGCAGCTGCCGCAACACCCACACGACCTGCACCTGCCTACCCCACCAGTGCACTTAAACAGAGTGTTCGCGCTGCCGGTGCCCAGCGCCGTGTGATGGAACAACAAGAAGCAGTTGTCATGCCAGGAAACCATGCTGTCGACCGGGCTGCAGTGCAGTTCGGCAGCATGGGATTGAACGGCGATGCTGCTGATGTCGATATTGATGAGAACCGTGAAGATGCTGAAACTCGTGCCCAACCCCCTCAACACTCTCCCGTGGCTCCTCGTGCCTCCTTGCCTCCTTCTACCCAAGGCCAGGCTTCGACCGAGAGCCCCGCTGTCTCTCGCCCAGCCCCTGGACTCCCCCCCGTTCCTCAAGCCTCTGCTGCCGACTCCTCTTTCAACGACTTCGCCCGCTATACCGATGCTCACAAGCCCTACGACCCCTTCAGCCAGCAGGTGACCCAACCTCAGCCTCAGATCCAAGAACCATTCGCCAACCAAGCTCCCGTCCAGCCGACCGTAACTACTGGCAGCGAGTATTCTCCCTTCTACGCCGTCGACCAGCGTCTCCCTTACAACTACTATGGCACCTATGGCCAGTCCCAGGATGCTACCGTGGCCCAGAGAGCTGCCGCCGGATTTGGTGTCTCGGGCGCGGAAGTGCAGCCCCATATCCCTACTACTCAGCCTCCCAGCCGCTATGGCCATGTTGACGCACCCAACAGTGGTCACAACACCCCCAACCCCACCCTTCCCGGTGCTACTCAGACTCCGACTGCACAGCATATGCCCGGCCAGGCGCTCATACCTACGGATATGGATACCCTTATTTCTCCAACCCCCACTATGCTTCGTACATGAGTCAGATGAGCGGACACCAATATGGCCGCAACCGCCCGATGTATGATGATGCTCGCAGATACGACGACCACTATATGCCTCACACGGCCCAGTATGGCTATGGAAGCCAGTATGGTCCGTATGGCAAGGCTGGAATGTACGGCCAGCCTCACGCTTTCTCTTACGACCACTCTTCGTCGCCCGCAACTACCGGCAGCTTTGCACAAGCCATGCCGGGCCGTGACACCGTCTACGGCCGTACCGGATCTGCCCAACCATCGGAGAGCCAGCAGTCTGCAGCCGGCTCGAACACCTTCGGATCGGGCATGTCGGACGTCTTTGGTCGCTCCCAGGGTGGCTTCGGGCAGAATCAGCCCATTTCTCAGCAGCCCCCAGTGACTACGGAGGAAACTAAGACCTTTGACACGCCCAAGGCCTCTGGACCCAGTCCTTCCCTGGCTCAGGCTAACCGCCCTGGCTCCGCAACCAACAGCGTACCAGGTCAGCCTCAGGCACAAACTGGCCTTCCCCCTCTGCAAGGCCAGCAGGGTCAGCAGGGCTTTGGCACCTATCCTCAGCTGAACCCTCAGTATGGGGGTCTCGGTGGACTTGGTGGACACCAGGGTGCAGCCACTCAAACCCACCACCAGGCTACTGGATACGGTAACTACGGCGGCGCCGGCTTCGCTAATTATTATGGCAACACTGGCCGCGGTGGCTGGGGAGGCAATTACGGTCACTAAATGATGATGACGTTGCATTTTTCCCGAATGACGGAATCCCTATTTGGCTCAGGGGGTGGTTACCCTGACTCAAAAGCTTTCTATAATTCGTCGATTGTTATTTTATGTCACTCTCAAGTGTGTAATCTCTACTCTCCGTGGGAGCTTGGCTGGTTTTTTCATTTTTTCACTTTTTTTTTCTTTGGACTCGAATTGTTATGCAAGGTTGCCTTCATGATGCTGTATTGAACTGAAAAAAATGTTACCTTTCTGTTTCCCTTCTCCGTCATTTCTTTCCTCCTTGCTCGTGTACGGTTTCATGACATTGACCAATGTCTTACGTTTGTTCTGAAGTTCCTCGATTCGCTTTTCACGAAATCTTACTTCCCTATTGCTCTTGTCTGCCTTGCATATCTTCCGCTTCCTGTACTACATATTGGGGTTCAGTTGGGATTACATCTATGCATTGACTGGGTTAGGACAAGGGACGGGGGAACAAAGAATGCAAGAATTAAACTGGGCGGCGTTGTATTTTCATGTCCAGCCGAAACAATTTGGGTTCCTTTGCTGCACGGCGTAGAATGTAAGATTCTCCGACCGAGCCTGTCATGTCTCATATATTGTTCAGTAGCATTACCTTGGAGGGTTGGTCATTGTACCTCCCCATCAATACATCATTTTTCAAACTCATCCTGGCCGTATACATACTACTACTACCATTGAGGCAGTTGAACCTCACAACTCACCGTACTATAGGTAGTCGTGGGCGACGGGCTCAAAGAGGAAAGCGGGCAGGTGATGTCCAACTATCCTACATTCGGCTAGCCCCAGGTCCTGGATCTGAATCGGATGGAAACTTCCTTCGCCCATTGAGCCATGGATGCTATGACTGTACCGGCGACAACAATACCGTTGTCTTCGTATCGTTTGATTCAACTCTCAACTCGTTGCGAGTTCTGATGATGATCGTCCAGAACTCGGACCGGCCAATCCAGCCACTCGGCCCACTCTGGTCCTAGGTACTTGATGATGGATTCGACCAGAAATCGCCCACCGTCCCCAAAACCCCACACGTCGCGCCGTGTATGCAGGCAAGCGGCATAGTACGCTAGTACCACAAGAGCTTCAGGGTATCGCATCGTGAGAAAATCGAGATATTCCGGAGAAACCAATGTCGGCCAGGCAGTAATCTCGGTGACATTAGCGCCTTGCTTCCCATACAAGCATGTAACCATCGCGTGCTGCAGCGATTCTATTGCTTGCTTATAGGTATTGGTGATAGAGGGGCCTAGTTTGGCCGCCTTGATGAGGGTTAAAAGCTTTGCACATTCGGGGTCAAGTCCCATAATACTTGAGAACCGTCTCTCACTATCCAGAATGAGTGCCTTCAGCGAAGACTCCCGAAGCATACTCCATGAATTTGCGGTGATGGCACGGATCCCGCGATGTAGTCGGAAACTGCTCACCAGTTGGTCTAGGAAGCGATCAAAATCTTGGTCTCGGTTGATTAATACGTCGTAGAGGAGGTGGACATTAAGAAGACCGGAAAATAAAAAGAGCGGGACGCATGTCTCTTGGGTTAATTCGAGCTCCATACTGTTGAGGATTGCCAATGCGTGCGTTTGGAGTTGCGCTGCGTGGTGACGATAGAATTCTTGTTCTACTGGACGCAAGGTGCTCAGATGTAGGGCACTGAGGGCTAGTAGCTCATTCATGACATACGGAGAAGACATGCAAATCTGTAAAGTCTCGGGAGAAGCGACAACCACATCGAAGCTCTCCCAAAATGTTTTTCGTGTTTCTGTCATCAAGTGGTGTAACAGCTGCATGTGAAGCATATTGACCGGCGCATCTTGGGGAAGCGAGTCGGATCTCGGACTCGCACCATCAGACGGCTGATCTCTTGCCGCAGCCACTGCGGGGGATGAGACTGGCGAAGTGTTGGCGTGAGATCGTCTAGCAACTTGAAAGATGTCCGCGTATTCACAGAAGCGTTCCGAAGTTGTACAGTTGGTACATGTCGGCCGCTTTTCGTCACACTGTCTCGGTTCAGCGATACTAACGTCAGCGCTCTTGAGGGTCGCTCTCTTACTTTTATATGGCGTCGCTTGCATTCCAGGCATCCATTGCGCGACTTTTTATGCGTTCTGCGTGGCATGGTTATGATCGCCACATCCCCAGAAGCTACTGACTATTCATGTGGGTGACTGCGGTCTGTTCGCCAACCTGTCCGCCAACCTGTTCCTGACACACTATCGAATCATGTCTTCCATATACGCAGACTCTGCTGATAGCTCACTGCAGGCTTTGGATCCAGCTGGACTCTAAAGAAGGCTTTCTTAGCGCATGAAGCGAGAGGCTTCGAGGTGGCCCGAAGCCTAAAATAAGGAATCCGCGTATGCACGGACCAATTTGATATCGGATCCACTACATACCGTGTTCGATACGCGTATTCGGTCGATTTCCTTCAGGAAGCAGTGCAGTCTATAGAGCTTCGTGCCAATTTCTTTACGCGTATAGTATCTCTACTCTGGTGCATGAAATCCTTCCCGTCCAGTATTCGGACATATAAATGCAAAATGATTCGCCCCCGAACTTTGAGGATGATCCCAGGATACTTCCCAAAAGACATACAATTAACAAACGGCTCTCACAACAATGGCGCAACTTGAGCCTTATGCAGGAGGTTACTACCTCTGGGCATATCTACCATCAGTCCCAGCAGCTGTTATCTTCCTCTTACTCTTTCTCGGTGCCACCGTCTACCACTTCTGGAAGATATGGAAAATGCGAGCTCGGTTCTGTCTCGCCTTCGCCATTGGAGGCATATGTGAGCGCTGCATTACCCTTACTTAGATTGCATTGGACGATCCTAACATTCTCGCAGTCGAAGTTATCGGATATGGTGGGCGGGCTGCTGCTTACAACAGAACTGGAGAAATCCTGCCATACTGCATCCAGAGTGTGTTCATTCTTCTTGGTCCGGTTCTCTTCGCCGCATCAGTGTACATGACTCTCGGCCGTATCATCCGTAGTGTCCGAGCCGAACACCACTCTCTGATCCGAGTCAATTGGTTGACAAAAGTCTTTGTTCTCGGCGACGTGCTCTCCTTCATGGTCCAAGGTAGCGCAGCAGGTCTGATGGCGACAGGTTCAAACGCGGCGATGGGAAAGAACATCGTAATTGTCGGCTTGTTGATTCAAGTTATCATGTTCGGGCTGTTTATTGCGACTTCGATCGTGTTTCAAAGACGTATGCATCAGCATCCAACGGCCCAAGCATTTGACCAGGCGATTCCCTGGAAATCCCACTTGCACACACTCTATGCAGTCAGCTTGCTGATCATGGTTCGGTCTATATTCCGGGTAATCGAATATGCCATGGGCCAGGACGGGTACTTGTTGAGCCATGAATGGCCAATGTATGTCTTCGATGCTTTGCTGATGTTCGCGGTCATGGTGATCTGGGGGGTGTGGTACCCCGGAAATCTCAACCTCCTGATACAAAAGCCTGCCTCGGACACCATGAGCATGCACAACCCTGAAGAAAGTTTACGGTGCTCATAGAATAGCCATCCACGATGTTGACGAACTTGGAACGAAGCACTTTTGCTTAGAAGTACACTTTACCTACTTGACTTTTGTATATAACAATCACCAACCATCCCTTATATAGATGTATCGCATCCCTGCATTGTAATGAGCATAGGTTATATACCTTGACGAAATTTGTAAGATAAACTAAATAAAAACATGTATATTGCACATGGTAGAAATGTGTGTCCTGAGATAGTTGGACGAGAACGGACGTCAAGAATATATAAATAAAACGAGAATAACAACAAGCTCCTAGGCGATCTTACTATAAACCCTATTAATCACCGACAGCTTCCAGTATTTGCACATAGTTAGTAATTAATTTCACAATGCCACTCTCCAGATATTAGGGTTTGATAAATAGCCTTGTCAAGTGGCCATCGGACGCAGCCATGGATTATAAACGGGAACAACTATGGACAGTGACAATCTAAGTTTCCTTGGTAAATTCACGGACTGTAACAGTTTACTCCGACGAGGAAGGAATCCGGAATGCATACATATACGCAAGATCACTGAGGACATCAAGCAAGTCATTTGGGTTCCATTGAACGTCTTTCAAGTACTCGAGTTCTACACTAAAGTCCGATATATCCTGACACTGAGGCTATCGACACGCTGATAAATTGTCACAAGAGGGGGGGGAGAACTGCCAGCAAAAGAAAATCCATCATGCCCTAATTGTGTCCAGGACTGACATAGCTACATTGTTTCCCATAGCCCCAGAATTGCCGACGAGATGTCTCACTATGATGCGATGGACCCATGATCTTCCTGCCTTGACACTTAGGCAGTGATCAACGATGGACGTGCTTTAATTAAGCTACCCACTTAGGCACTGATAGTAGCTATAGGTAAGGGGGCCAAAAATCAGGGGAAAAAAGGAAATTTGAAATCCGAGAAAAGGGGAACTGAAACACTAGGGTTTCTGCCTAATGCCCTCCATCAGATTGGAGAATATGCATGTGAGGCAGTGACTATTGATTCCCGACAGATCTTGTTTCAATTTAGATAACAGAAACTCCTCATCAGTGATGAAATTACGCGTTTACCACTCTGAATCTACTATTTTCGAGTACTCTGGTGCCAAGGAGAGCCTGATCTACGTGGAAGCGGTGGATCTGGTATGGATCATAAACTTTGCGGACGAAAGTTCGGAGCCTGAAGCAAAAGACAACCTGTGTATTGATCGTCGTGTTCTATATACAGAAGCCGAAAAGTATCAGAACCCCCAAGAAGAATGAAACAAAGGTTTAGATTAAAACACAAGAGAGATTCTTGTTCAAGCAAACGCATTCTATAAGCGCAGATGCCACTGCGGTGCCTTAGCCATCAATGAAACTATAAGTGGATTGTATAAAGCGTTAAACCCGATCTCAGGCAATCATACGCCCAGGCCTTCGCCGCCGACCTTGTGATACGGCGGCTTCGCACCGTCTGCATTTGCTGGGTTGAAGCGCCACACCCCACCAGTCTTGTCGCCTTCGAGCGATGTGAGACCGGCCTTTCTCGCAAGTTGCAGAAGCTCCTGATCCTCGTTTTCGTCTACGCGCTTGAAGAAGCGGCGCTCCCATTCCCGGCCCTCGGACTTTTCAACCTTGCGAAGCTCGCGCTGGGCGTTCTCAATCTTCGACTTGGCCACAGACACGGCGTCCATGTCGCCCCGCTCGATGCCCGAAGCCACGTCCCGCCAAGCACGCCGACTTTCGTAAACGTCCTGATCCTCCAGTGGGGCCAACTGGAGCGGAGTGGTCTTGTTATCCTTAACCACGTACGTCTCCACTTCTTCCTTGGTTCGGGCATTCTTGATGGTGAACTTATCCGACCACTGCCCATCGACAGTGTACAAAGGCTTCTTCTCTCCTTCGCTTTCCTTATACAAGATAGCGCAAAATGTGTTTTTCTTTCCACTCAGCCAGCCTTTGCCCGAGTAATCGATCTTGGCCACGTAGCCGGTGCTGCTGACAATCCGAGTCGTCTTTTCCAGTTCGATGAATGGAGTTCCATAGATCAAGGACTCAATGTGCAAGCTTGGAAGTGTGATAAGGTACTGTTCCTTCTGGGCCGGGTCGTTCTTATCCGCGTTGGGTGGGGTGACGGTCAGGAGGGCGTGTCCGATCTGTTTGATTTGAATGGTGCTTGAAAAGGAGGCCTTCTGGGCGTTATAGCCTTGTAGCTGTACAGAAACAACGTGAGTTATGACCCTCTGGAAGAGGAAGCATGAATATAAACAAAGATGTAGACTTACTTCTACCCCGTGTTTCTCATTCCGAATCGCGTAGGCGGTTGCTGGGGGGTGGTGGCTGACTCCAGTCAACCTCCTGCGGTTGAAAAGGACTTGTTTTGAGGGTTCCACCTACCTGACTTGTTCACTGATCAATGAGGTCTCCCCGATATGCTCATCAGCGTCCCACTTGCCCAGGAAGAGCTCTCCGAGGAAGGGGTTCAGGGGCTTCTTCTCACTACCGAGTTTCTCGCTGCGGGTACAGTACTGCTGGTGGAGGGTACTGATAAACCATTTTAGAACAGCCAGGCTCTCTTCTCGGGGTCCACTTCTGTAGCTGGGGCCACCAAAAGGTGCGGATGCTCAGCCCAGTAGGCGGAGAACTCGGTCAGGGAGGTGGAGGACAGGATAAAAGGCGGAGCGGTCAAGGACGAGAGGTCGCCGTTGAAAGAAGCGATGGACTTTAGGAGGGATCATCGATTAGTCAAGACATCGGGTTGTCAATTGAGGCAGGTTGTGCCATACCTTGAGGAAGCTTGACCAGGAACCTTTGCTGCTGGCGGGGATCGCATCCTTGCTGGAACTCATCTTTTTCTAGGTATTTTCTTTTGCTTTAATTCTAGAAAAAAAAGTATTTAAATTTGAGGTATTGATGTAACAAGCAAAAAAGTCACTGGAGCCAGCAGTAACAGACTGTAGGGGGGAGGAAGGATAAAAGGTGAAGAATATGGCGAAGTGGGGAGAAAGGGAAGAGGAGCAATGGGGATGAAGGCAGTTCGTTGGGTTTAGATGAGGTGAAGTGCCCACGCGAACGGCCGCAACACTAGTCCCATTGCGACGTCATGCGGGCCGTAATCTTTTCTTTTGGTTGGTTTTTGGTTTGAAACTCTTGGTCCCTCCTGCATGCAATGAACGATCTTTCTTTTTGACCGTCGGGACAGACATCGAAACAGTCATTGGCATTGGTGAGAATCTTCCCTTAGTCGAGGTCTAATTTTGCCACCTCATCTCTGGTCCCTCGGTTGGATCTCTCGACCCTTTTTCCTTGTTCAAGTTGCTTTTATTCTCCGACATGAGTGATGGATCGGGAACAACGAATCGATCGCCAAAGAGTAAAGGCAAAAAAGGAAAAGAAGGAGAAGGAGAAGACGAGACTTCCAACATCACCAGTCTCATCACAGGTTGGATTTGAGATGCCTGGCCGTTTTAATATTGAGGCTTGTTTTCTCTGGTGGGGATCTTATCAGATGACTTGGCTGCGTGGCTTGCACCGTTTCCTCACTAGTCACGGTTCGGTCCCTTTTTCCACGTAAGCAACCCTCACCTCACTCGGCGTTCTTTCGGATACACATTTTTGGTCCGGTCTCTTTTTTGCCTTGGTGTGACGCGTACTTATTACTTTGAGGCTTATACTCCTCAATCTAGCAGTCGTTGTTTGTGTCTGGAGACTTACAGCAACTGTCTAATTGGCCCAAGACTTATTTTACCATGGAAACTAAGATTCTAGACACTCCAAGAGAGACTTCTGAGGAGTTTGGATAAAACCGAAGAACTAACCCTGAAGGGAAACGCCGATGTGTCAAATAGACACTACTATCTATTCACATCTTTGTCACTTCTACTCTATCAAGTCTATTGACTTGGACAAAAGATGAAAAGAAGAACTCGCAAAGACAGGCTGATGTTCACAGCATATTTTGGCCTTGCAACGGAAACTTGTTCTAGCCAACAAGAAATCTGCGTATGGCGATTATGGTGATCAGTGGGCCCTTGAGACTCAGCATTTTTTGGGGTTTCATTTTGTTTATTTATTTATTTACTTTTTTCATTTGAGAATTACCACCAAATGAACAACCGTGAGAGCAAGTCAACATTGACTCCAGCACATTAGCTGGGTCGTCATGTGCCTGGTCGTCGCAAAACCCATCCGGCCCCATCATGGTGATCCTCCTGAACAGTCCTGTCGCGGCTCCACTTGGTCGCGGATCCTTAGTCAAGAACCGGTGGGTAACGGGAGCTATCGGAAAGCCGTGTACTCCTAGACCGTCTCCGCCGAATGGAACAATTACTTCACGAGAGTATGCGTGGTTTTCGGCCTATTGTTTGCGCCGTTGGTCATCCAGGGGTCTAGTTGAACTGCAATGTCGATCCAGTTCCCACTCTTGGGCCAAGCTATAGACCTGCGGCTCCGCTCCCGAACCTATAGTGGCCATGGGCGTGGCTAGGTCTCAATCACATTATTGGCTCCGCGTATTCTACGGGGACTGTGGTATTTCTATGGCCCGCTCTGAGAAGCATGTGCTACGCTTTTCATTGTCTTTCTGCTGGGTGCTGAGTACTCTCAGGCACCAATGGTATCTAGTTGGCCCCATTTGGCTGCATGGTCTGGCCATACTTCAGGCTGATGATGTGATGATAGTCGTGCTAAAAATGAAATTCTATTCTGCAAAACGCGCAATGCAGAGAGCATTGGGGGTCTGTCTCCTTTTCCGATTTTGTTCATTTAAGATGCATGTGGTGTCAATATGTCTGCTCATTGAAGCACTGTATCCAAAACCGATTTCCCTCTTTCCAGTTCTCAGTCTCTCTTTTCGTTGGTTTCCCTTGGCTTTTGCCTAGTCACTCATTTCAGTTAGCCTCTAAAACAACTCAATGTCAAAGCTGTCCATACAGTCGTTCATTCATTGACCCGGTGCCTAAATCTGGAGGAGTTCAAACACTTTCATTTCTAGTTGAACATTATCTTTCCCTTGTTGTCACTGCAGTTGGCATGAACCATGTTCAAGTCTGTTTCTGTCCATGAGCGAGAGGTCCCGACAATGTCGGACAGATCTTCTCTCAATTCGGCTACCACTCAAGTTGCCACCACAGAGGAGCATCTAAATCCTCGGGAAGACTGCGCACAACCCCCTGGCACCCCCAATACGCTTGTTCCGGTGCAATCTGAACAAAGTCATGATTTGCAGAAAGAGCCTGTTGCAGACGATGATGACTTTGAAGAAGCTGATGCAGAACAATATAAGCGCTTTTCACCCGCACGGAAAATCATCATTGTTTTTATCCTGTCGTATTGTGCCTTTCTTGCCCCTATCTCCTCAACAGCCATCCTAGCCGCAGTTCCAGAGATATCCAAGACCTTTGAAACCACGGGGGATATAATCAATGCTAGCAATGCACTTTATTTGACGTCCATGGGGGTCGCCTCTCTTGTCTGGGGTCCTCTTAGCCAGGTTTGGGGCCGTCGCCCGGTAAGTTTCATCTCTATGCTTTAGAGTTCTTCGTCTATGGCCTTCCACTGACAAGTATGTGTCTTTAGATTTTTGTTGCGAGCGGCATTCTCTTTTTCATTTTTACGATTGCCACTGCCCTGTCTCCTAATCTCCCTGCCTATTTCGTCTTTCGTATCCTCACTGCCTTCCAAGGGACATCCTTCCTTGTTGTCGGTAGCTCCGCCATTGGAGATGTGTATGAGCCTCGCAGCCGAGCATCAGCAATGGTGTGGCTTCTGTCAGGAAGTATGACCGGACCTGCGGCTGGCCCTTTCCTCGGAGTATGTCTTGATTCGTTTATGACCAGTCAATTAGTAGGCAGTGGCTAACATGAAGACTCAGGGTGTCATCGTGACCTTCCGATCATGGAGGGTAATATTCTGGCTTCTGTCTGCGATGAGCGGGTTTTCCGCCTTGATGCTCATTTTTGTCTTCCCTGAGACGATACATTCTAAAACCGATGGTGATCTGGCCGGGAAGAGTCTTCCCGAGAAGAGCAAGCTACTTTGGCAGCGTGTGTCGCCTGTTCGCGTGATAATTCTGACCTTCTCATACCCAAACATCCTCATTACCGGCCTAGCCGCCGGTGCCTTGGTCTGGAACCAATACGCTCTTTTAACTCCTATTCGTTACATCCTCAACCCTCGTTTCCACCTAAACAGCCCTATTGAATGCGGTCTCTTTTACCTTGCTCCAGGAGCCGGCTACTTGGCTGGCACCTTTGTCGGCGGTCGTTGGGCCGATTATTTTGTTCGAAAGTACATCAAACGTCGCAACGGCCTCCGAATCCCAGAGGACCGGCTGCGCTCTTGCCTAGCATTCGTGTGCGTGGTCGCCCCGGGTTGCATCCTCGTCTATGGCTGGACACTCGACCAGGAAGTTGGTGGCATCCCCGTCCCTGTCATCGCCATGTTCCTGCAGGGCGTCGCACAATTATTCTGCTTCCCAAGTATCAACACCTACTGCCTTGATGTGATGCACGATAAGGGCCGTAGTGCCGAGGTCATCGCAGGCAACTACCTTTTCCGGTATGTTTTTGCCGCATTGGGCACCGGTGTCGTCTTACCAGCCACCAAGGCAATGGGTGTGGGCTGGTTCAATACAGTCTCGGCTTTGTTTCTAATCCTTTCTGGGGTATTAGTATGGCTAACAGCTGAATACGGCCCTAAATGGCGCGAGGCCATCGATTCCAAGTATGAGCAGAAAGAAGCCCAAGGAAAAGAAGCACCTTGTGAGAGTGTCTAAACTCGGTGCTCTACTCTCACAAAAAAAAGAAAAGGGCATAGATGCAAAGATATATTTACGTTGTTTCAATATGTTGGCAAGCATGGTAAAATAGAGGATTATCTGGGATGGATCCAAAAAAGTACTTGGGTTTTTGGCATTTTTTTAGACCGCATACTTAATGTATATAGTTTCATTCTTGTGTTTTCCTGGTGTGGCGTTTGGCTTCTGTGAATACCCATGTACTTCATAGTTATAGTTTATATTACCATTAGATAATTGTTTAGAGGTAGATATTTTCGTTGACACGGGCAGTAACCTGGTTTCAAATTCTTTCGTGCTGCATGATACTGGTATACGCGAAGTATTCGATATGTAGCAACTCTCGATATGGGTAATGATATAATAACCCTATCATACTCCACTGGTTGCCATATCGTGTTTAGTAATAAACGAAATATCTTCACTTGCACTCATCCTTTGGTATTTGGTTAAGCCTCATCTCCCGAAGCCAGCTTTTTCTTCTGCACGAATTTTCGTCCGTCCTGACGACCTTTCTCCACATCCACAAAACTGATCATGATCATGGCAGCAGTGCAAATAGCAAAGAGAAACGGAAACCCCATCCAATTGTTCTGCGTATCATTGATGATGGCTTGGATGACATTCGGGCCGATTATTGAGGACTACATGGACAGTGTTAGTGCGCTTCGATGTGGCAGTAAATGGCAGACTTACGGCACGGTTGGTGATGCCGAATAGAGCGAAAAACATGTTATCGTATCCTTGGGGCATGAGTTCGCTAATCATAGTTTGGGCGTACTGTTCTGGATTACTATAATTATAACCTCAGAAGTTCAGAAAAGAGACGAACGTACGGCATAGTATGGAGCCTGAAAGAGGCCAAAAACAATGTTGTAGAAGTAGAACTCCCACTGTGTGAGCATATCTTGTTAGTGAAAGCCTTGCAGACTTTACGTAGTCTGTGTAGCAAATTGACTTACCCGATGATGATATCCGATGTGTGTTGTCCACAAACCCAACATACCCCAGAAAGGGATGAACACACTGAAGAAGTTTGTAATAAGAAACATTCGCTTAGTGCTTATCTTGAAGTATTTCTGGATATACCAGAATCCGAAGGTCGAGATGGTTGAGGTTACTGCTTGAACGATTCCAAGATATGTCAGTTGGAGGAACGAAAAGGATACCTCATTGTTCTGGATTATGCCGACGAGTGTCCCTGTTAAATGAGACTCCATTAGTTTTGATCTTGAGCTTCTCAGTTTGACAGGAGGTACAAAGCAGCAACCTTACCGGTCGTGTTTAGCCCATCAGCCAGCAAAAAGTACGCAACAAAGTAGAGAAACGTCTGCGGTAGTGATCGAACCTCTCGGAGTGCTACCCATAATTGCTTGAAGCCAATTGTTGCATAACTAGAACCCTCTGGGACTTGGGGACCAGGCCGCTTCTGCTGGAAAATAAACCACCACACGCCTAGGACGACCCAGTCTGAAGACCATTAGCCAGAGGTTACAAAGTTAGTATAAGCTTAGGTCACACAGGTCATCCTTACAGGAGTTTGTCAGACACAAAGCAAGATTGTTTGAGTAGTCGTTTCCCTGGAGTGGTAGCAATACGCTCAAATTGAGCGCAAGTGTGAAGAGATAACCAATATTACTGTGCGCAGTGGACACATTGCTACGTTTCATTAGTGTCTACTCAGCAAGGTTGATATAAGATAGGTTATCAACCTGATATGGTTCCTCTCCAGCGACTCTATCGCGTCGTACTCCTCCAAGGTGATTTTGTTTTCGCGCAAATCTTCTTCACGGGCCTTGCGGACGTGGGGAATAAAGCGCGCAAGCCGAGGGAAAACGGCTGCATAGAATACCAATGTCGCACCGTAAGCAACATATGCGACCACATACATGCCCATCGCTGCAGGCCATTGATTGGGATGCTTGATTGCCATCATACCATACTGCAAAGCCCAACAGACCACGGTGAGGGCTAAGAGTAGCCAGCGGCCAAAGGCGCCATAATCTGCAGCACTACCCAACCAAACAAAGATCACCGTCATAAAAGTAAAACAAAGTCCATTGGCGATGAGGACGACTGATGAGACGGAACGAGTGCCGCCGGCCCAAGGAACCACACACGCAGATGATGCTGTGCAAGGTTCATGCGGTTCCGTCCCTGGCTGCCAGCCCGCACCGGTCAGGGCCCATTGAAATCTAAAGGGTCTCAATCAGTCCAGTTTGTGATAATGCCGATCCAGCGCGCTTACAATGCTTGAGAATAAGAACCAGGACCAACTCCATTATCACCTGAAGGGTAAGGCAATCCAAGTCAGGGAGGACCAGAAGCAAGAGACCCCAACAAGCTCACCATTATAGTACAGGTAGTAAGACCATAACTCTTTCCGGGTCGTTGTTGGCTGGTCATAGTCTTCCTCGGCTCTGAAAAGGTGGTCAAGCTCATCCCTTCTGGGCCGCTCTTGCTGCGGTACTATACCCTGAACGGTGACATTGGCCTTGCTGGTGGAGTCAAGAGTTACTTCAACAGGCCCGTTGTTTGCAACGCTCAAATCCATCGAAGGAATGTTTTGATTTCCACTCCGATCGTTGTGTGACATGACAATCGTCCAGGAAGGGATAAGCGGTCCTTGTCACTCGGTGTCGGAGAGGATGTGCGCTGTTACTGAATTGAGAGCAGACGAAAGAATGAGGCAGATCAGTAGAATGGTACGGAGAAAATGGCAAAGATGAGACGACGATAGAGATGGGAAGATAAGAGAGAGACGGTGATACTTGGCGTTCGTGGAATCAAGGATGTGTAGTAACTGATAGAATATGGCACCTTTATCAGAGAAATAATCCGTCGAATCGGATGAGTTGGTCAGTCTTCCTTTTCTTACCCCGCAATGAAGCAGATCAAGGTATCTCTGGCGTTGATTTTACCATTCCTCACAGATGTCAGTGTCGGTGGTTTTATTATTCGTTGGCTACTCTCCTTCTATAGGTTCACGTGAATAAATCCGGGGTTCATGCCTGAAGTTTGAACCATCGGTGTAAGGCAAACAATCAAACAATCAACCATACTAAACCCTTGCTGGATCAGGGTTTGGATTGAATGTATTGTATGCATTGTATGTACGGAGTATCTTCATTTCTATCGCATCTCTCCCTTCAAGATCCATCCATGTTTCTACCTACCTACCCACTACTACCTAACTAGTTGTCTTCCCTTGAATTCAACTATTATTGGCCCAACTAATGGACTGATGCTTAGATCCCCTCCCCCCGCGTGGGTCTCCTTGCTAGGCATTTAATAACGGAAACTACGTACAACCACTCCACCTCACATTCCTACGCCCATCACCACCACCTGGGTCACCTCTACCCCTCTTCAACCCTTCATTCTATAGTTGCTGAGATGCAACCCACAGATCTACGTAAGAAAGTCGGCCAGGTATGAACAAGGCTTCCCAGCACGATTTTCGAACAAACAATGCCAATGTACAATACTAAGCTAAGGTCCACCCTTGTATAGCTTTTCGCGGTCGGCTTTCACGGCCTCACTCCTAGTCCTGAGATCAAAACCCTAATCCACGAATATGGCTTGGGAGGAATTGTTCTTTTCAAGCGAAATATCAGCGATGCAGCTCAGTTGCAGGTAGGCCACTCCAGGCATACCATGATATATACCAAAAAGAAAACAGCGCTAATACTCTTAGACCCTAACTCATTCTTTACAAGAGGAAGCGAGACTAGCTGGACATGAATATCCCCTGTTTATTGGTATTGACCAAGAGAATGGGTTGGTCACCCGGATTTCACCTCCTATTGCCGCTCAACTCCCAGGCCCTATGGCTCTCGGAGCGACTTATGCCCCAGAGCTTGCTAAGGCTGTCGGCGCTGTCACAGGCGAGACGCTGAGATTATTTGGGATAAACATGAACTATGCCCCTGTGTGCGACATCAACTCAGAGCCACTGAACCCAGTGATCGGGGTCCGCAGCTTTGGAGATCACCCTGGATTTGTCGGAAGATTGGCATGCGCCACTGCTCATGGTCTCCGAGAGCAGAAAGTGGTACCCAGCGTCAAGCATTTCCCGGGACACGGAGATACTGCTGTGGACTCTCATTATGGCCTTCCTGTCATCTCTAAAACAAGAGAACAGCTAGACAAGTGTGAATTGAGACCTTTTCGCAGAGCTGCAGCCGAAGGTATTGAGGCAGTAATGACAGCCCACATTTCGCTACCTGCTATTGACGACAGTCAGCTCCCTGCTACACTGTCTGCTAAAGCCTTGAATATATTACGGAAGGACATGGACTATGACGGTATGGTGATCACAGACTGTCTAGAGATGGATGGTATTCGTGCCTCATACGGTACGGAGCAGGGAGCGGTCCTCGCTTTAGAGGCAGGCTGTGATAGCATTATGGTCTGTCACACTTATGATGTCCAGGTAGGATCCATCAACAAGATCTACGAGGCTATAAAATCCGGAAAGGTGCCGACTTCGCGCCTAGAGGAAGCTTTTCGCAGAGTAACTGCACTAAAAGCCCGTTTTCTGAGTTGGGACGCAGCTCTCAAGCCACAGAGCCTTGATGGGCTTACATCTCTTAACCAAAAAGGCACAGAGTTAGCGAAAGAGGCCTATTCTAGATCGGTCACTCTTGTGCGCGATACACAGAGTATTCTTCCCCTGTCTCCTTCATCGAAAATTGCATTTCTCTTTCCGGGTGATAAGACACCGGCTGGCGGTGCAGTGGATGGTGAAGGTTTGGGCAGAAAGGGATCCTATAACGCCTCCGTTTATCTCGACATTCTTAGACAATGGAATAGCCAAGCTTTCGAGATAAGGTACGGGCCAGAGGGTCTATCGAGTGAGCAGCTCAGCCTCATCGAAGCTGCCGACGTGGTCATATTCGCCTCTATCAATGCACGGGAATCAGCATATCAAAAAACGCTGGGCCTCGAACTGCCGCGCCGCAGTCGTTCAATGGTTG